ACCTCCACACTTCTGTCTGTCACTATAGCAGCTTCGCACACTACCGGTACAAGCTTTACATTTCACACATGTCTGTCACTACTTGTATATGTACTACAATCTCATACATATTATCTACCAGTCTGCTCCGGGTTTGTAACCTCTACAAGGCAGTAACCGGCCATACATGCAAGCGGAAGTTCGCATACTTGCCTTACATTTTGCACAAGACTTGTATACAGGCTATAATCTCATGCATACCTTCACACTCCTGTTTTTTACAGTACAAGCTTCACACACTTCCGGTAGAAGCTTTACATTTTCCACATGTCTGTTACTACTTACATATGAACTACAACGTACTACAATCTCGTACATACCAACTACAAGGGTTTGTAAGCCATAAAAGGCAGTACCCGGCCATACACGCAAACTGCTCTTTTGTTGATGATACACCAGCACGTGTCACGTGCTTTGAGAACATTTTGTTGAACGCAGAACGCGTTACGCGACAATCAACAGTTAGTAATCAAACGGTAACAGCGAGCTCATTTTACGACAGTGTCAAGGACGATCGACACAAAACTCAACGGGGGATGAATACCAGGCGTGCCAGGATTGCCAGGATTGCAGATACAGATCATCATGACTCGGACTCAGGCGGCGACACTGAACCAGATACACCAAGACCGACACTTCGACAGGGCAGCAAGAAACGGATCAGCGACATGTACGGAGGTGAGAGTGAAGCACACTCTGACACTGGACGCCTTCCACTAAGGGCGGTCAACATCAATGACGACGCGGCTGAGAAGCGCCGGCGAAGGAAGAGCAATAAACTAGCTGTCATAGAAAACGCGGAAGCTGGGCCTTCGACAGAGCGTCAAGATCAGGCAGAATCTTCCAAGGCTGCGCAGGCGAAGCTGAAGCAACAGCAGCTCAACTCTGTGGCCCCACCTCCTGTCATCAACGTACCCCTAGACGTCATGAGCTCCAACTTTGAGGAATGGATGAAAATGGCGACAGACAACGTGCGTGCATTAGTGTATAATCTAGATCTTGCTACTTATCATAATGATCGCCAGAAAATCAATGCTGCGAACTCATGGAACTTCGCGCTGATCGATTACTTCCATGATATGTCGCTGCTCCGAAATAATATCGACAACTCCATCAACTTCCAGCGCGCTTCATGTACCCTTGATGGCTGCGTCAAAATTTGGACCAGTCGCGTCGACTCTGTTGGCACAGAAACAGGCAAGCTGCTCAGCAACCTCGCCAACGAAGGCATGATCGGCGCCGAAGACGATGACGCGCTGTCGGACAATCCTGATAGTCAAGACGCGACACAGGCGAAGAAAAAGAAAAAATCGCACCGACCCGACTCGACGCTCGCTAAAGACGCCTCACAGCTTCACAGCAAGAAGCTGGAACTTGACCTCGGCATTGACCCCCTTTTCCGCAAAACTTGCGAAGATTTTGATGAGGGCGGCGCACAGGGTCTGCTCATGAACCACCTTAGTTTGGGGGTTGGAAGTGATGGTGGCATGCGCGTCGTCTTTGACGCGAGTGATTCCATGGGCCGAGTGGCGGAAGATGAAGAAGATGAGGAGGAGCAGGAAGAATATGTGGACATAAGTTACCTACGAGGTATGTTGCAAAAGTCCTCTTGGATGATAAAATACTCATCCTTGTGTCAGGTCAATTTTTTCCTGACTTAGATGTTCTTGACGACAAGGCGATCTCCCATTCACTGGCCGACTTCTCATTCGCCAAAGACAGTAATCACACATTTGACGACTCTCTTTACCGTGATGATACAGTTAACAATCAAGCTGGCGACGAAGATGATGATGATCCGGGCTTCGGAGACTACGGCGCAAATGATGCACCCATGAATGTGGATGGTGATCGTGATGGCCAAGATTTCTTCCAGGGCGATCAAGCTGTTGATGATGATTATGATGGTGGGGACGCCTTTGGAGGGGGCGACTATGGGGGTGATGAGAATGGGTCCGTCGGCGCCGAAGGTGATCAACGGCATGCGGTACGACCAGGAGGCGCACTTGTCCCTTTCGACCCACGACATGCACCAAACAAGCCAGATCGTGTGATAGCCATTACAGACGCGGACGGAGAAAACGCGATGATGGGTTACTTTGATAAGAACCTCATGAAAAACTGGGCGGGTCCTGAACACTGGAAGTTGAGGAAAGTCATTCGGAAACGTGAGTCCTTCAGTTCAGTCGGATATGCTATATCACTGATGTCGCGCTACAGCAGAGGCTGATGCCCCCAAACCCCGGCGGGAAAAGAAGGAAGCATTCAAGATCGACTTCCTGACGCCCGCCGAGAAAGATATCAAGACGATTGCAAACGAAATGTTTGCGAAAGTCACGCGGGGGGTTGGTATCACTTTGCCCAGCTACGGAGGTTCAAAGACTGGGAAAAAGGGTCGGGGCGGCCGCAAAGCGAAGGAGGAGAAGCGTGATGAACATACTCTCCCTGATGACATGCACTTCTCAAGCAGGCAACTTGTTACTCTTTTCCTGAAGCCCAAATTCTCGGTAAGCGCAATCATTTTTGTGACGACTTGAATTGACATCTGTACACTTCCAGTTAAAGATGCGTGGGCAACCTGTCAGGTTTAATGAGAATGGCGACGGAGAGGTCGACGAGCAATTTTGGGCACAGGCTGCGGCGGACCAAGCTGCAGAACGTGCTGCAGCTGAAAATGATGAAAGTAAGAATATTTTGTATTCACGCTCTATATGTTTTAAACTCATTGCTCCGCAAGCCGGTGATGGACTAAATATACCATTCAATACCCAGTTCTTCGACAATGACTACGATGACGGCCCGGGCTTTGATGATGGTTTTGATGGCGACGGTGCAGCGCTGCAGGATGCTGGAGAGCAGGATCTCTTGGCTGCCACGCAAGGTCAGACGCGGCGGGTTCGACCAGAATTTGTCAATTATGCCAAGCGTGCCAAACGGGTAGATGTGAGGAAACTGAAAGAGAATATTTGGAAAGGCTTGGATATCAAGGTTGGGAAGACGAAGGAGGGTGAAGAAGACGACGATATGGTTTGTCTCTTTTGAATTGCCCCTCCTTCTCTGCTCACTTGCTTCCAGGATGTTGATGACACATCTCTTACTAACCCCGAAGAACATAGAGTTTTCAGCTCCGTGATTTCTGGACTACAGAAATCGTATCCGAAGGACAAGATGGAAGAGATCAGCACGAGCTTCTGCTTCATATGTCTACTGCATCTTGCCAATGAGCAGGGACTGAAGCTACAGACTTCTCCCGGCGGCCAACTAGACCAGGAGGTGAATGAAGTCGTGGACTCTGAAGACAGAGATAAAGTGGGAGATATATGGAGTTTAAAAGTGCGCCCACTGCTTCTTTCATTGATCATCGCTGACCCTTTGCGCCCATAGGTATTTAGGGACCCAGATGCTACCTCGGCTGCTTAGTTGCAAACCGATGTAGTTCCTGGATTGTGGTCGACTTATCGATATTTTTATTTTCATATGCTACTAGACCATTTCTGTGTTCTTGCTTTCTCTTATTTTTTCTACTAGTAATCTGTTGTATACCGCGGAATGAGCGAGAAGTTTTAAAATTCTACCAAGTTACAATTTTGTATCCAGGTACTAAGGCTACAGTGTGACAGTGTGTATCATAATGTGAGGTGGTATCTAGTTCTAGCTACAATTCAGGATGGGAAGATGATAAAGTGTTAAAAATACAAGTAATTCCGTGTGGTCTTGCTCAGCTGACCACAGCACGCAAAATAAATCGACGTCTTCCATAGAACGGACCATATTCAGCGCAACTTGGCTTTCCAAGCACGCCACAAATTCTCCTGTTTCTTCTGATGCTTGGCTTTGAGTTGCAGGAACTCCTGGTATTCTTGTCCAGGTAGTTCAATCATGTCCGTGGTGGTAGTGCGAAACGGGAAGACGGTAAGAAGATCTGAGGGGGCGATGCGCGCCTGAGGGACAGATGAAGCTAGGAACAGGTGGTCGCCAAAGGGCGTATAAGTGTACACATCTAACCACCGGTCGCTGCGACGGTGAGAGTGGCCCGATGTGGCTGTGTAGGGGATTTTTAAGAGATTTGTTCTTGAGCAGTTTCAGTGGGTACGTACCTTGTACGAGTTGTATGATCATCACTTGGTGTTGCACAACAGCGATGGCGACTGTTCCGCGATTCATTATGGGCAGCGGTGAAAGATAATTGATACAATGGCAAATAATACAGCAAAAGAGACGGCTCTCTGGTAGTAAACAGAGCCTCGATGATTGAGACTTGGGAACGCTTGGGATATAAACTTGCTGAGATACCCCGAGCTATATGAGCATTTCTGTCGCAGGTCAATCATGACATGTACAAGTGTCTGTCAATTCAGTGGCCCTTGTCATACATACAACATTCGATTTCTTGTCCAGTGAAGAATAAAAACACGAGCAACCTTGTCGCCCGCCAAAGTAGTACAACACGTGACGGACAACAAGCTAATGACCAAAAGGGTTTGCTCCTTCTGAAGTTACTCTTGAAAAGAAAGTACAACGGCGTAGAACTTTAGAAGAACGCTGACTCGGAGGTTACGGGGTCGAAAATTGGGCGATAAGGATATTAATTACACATTTTGGAGTTTGACTTTCATTGAAACCGAAGATCCTCTTTCAAGAACTTTGTTGTCAAGTTCAGAATTGCAGAATAAGAATTCGGGTATGGTCCGATGGGTAGCTACGAAAACAAGACGCGGAAAGCATGATGCATAACATTGAATATGAAGGAAGAGGAAAGTGTAAATCTGCACGCGAGTAGTGGCTGCCGTTGGCAAAGTTGGAAAGAAATATTGGTCCTGTGACGGAAGCACATGAGATTGCGCAAGAGATAAGAAATCGAACTCTCGGCAGCGAGAGTTAAGTGAACTCTCCAAGTGAGCCTGAGAAATTTGAATTAGACACTGTCTCCCACCCCAAAAATGAAACGGACCTTAGGATTGTCAAGCTCTGCTGGATGCACCCCGCATCTGTCGCCGAAGTTGTAACTTGGGCTGCCAACTTCCTTGCGACACATGAATTAAACTGATGAGTATGAGATCTTCAAATTTTATGTGACGGGGACTAATCCTCCACATAGGGTCAGAGTCGGCCTCCATGCGGTGAATCGCCATTTTCTGAAGAAAAAAATCGTCAAAAGAAATGATTAGAGACAAACGCGAAGTGTCACCTCAATAAATTTGCGTATGCAGGTTGCAAGTTTCTTTGCAAGTTTGGCTTTGGTGATGGGCCCTCGTATCTTGCGACAGTCTCTGGTAGGGAGCTGATAACTCCAGGGAGGATAACCGGGCCACTGTCATTCAAGCAATCAGTTCATAAGGTCCGTATCGCCATGTTCTTGACAGACCTCTAATCTCACTGAGATAAATTGGCCGCCCCCTTCGAACACCGGGTCATCCCTATCGCTGAGACATCTCGAATTTTTGAGAATCTCTTCCAAGGCTACACCCAGCTCATGTGACTTCTCTGCGCAGAAGAGGATAGGCAAAGATAAATTCGCTGCTTGCACGTATTTCTCTCGCTCAGTTTCTCCTCGCGGCTGATACAATCTTTGAGGAATACAAGCAGAAGTAGCGGTTTCAATGGGGACTATGGCAAGCTGGAGTTCCTGTTCCGAATCGTCGACACGTTCATTGAGACTACTTTCCGCGGTATCCTTGTGCAATTTCGGTAAGAGCTCACTGAATCAAACAAGACAAAAAACTTACCCGGCTCTCCAATGGAGGCAACTGGCTGGTCTCATCGAGATCATTCACATAGTCTCCGTATACTACACGATCTGTGGTGCCGGAATCAGCTGCTGCACTTCACAATCACACTTCGATAGTGGGATGCAACCTTCGAAAGCCCTCATGAGGGTTGAAAAGGCATCCCAATCCAGCAAAGGTTCCGAAGTAGGCGGCGGAGACTGTTCCAGAAATCCTGCAGAGCGTGGTGACTTCGAGGATAGTTGGTTCGAAGATCTGACATTTCAAGAAAAGAGGCAACTGACATTACCAGCCAATGTACGATTGTCTGGCGAAGCCAGCCAAACCGTCCCGCCATTCAACGATCTGGGTACTTCAGGGTGGGCAAAAGAAAATGTATTGGCGTTGTGAAAGGACATGGATGAAGAATACTGTACGTCTGATGGTCACTTCTATGATTCCTTATGAATCTCGTCGGTCAACTTTTGTACCGACACGGAGGATTGAGTAACCGATTGAATATTCCAGATCCAGCGCACACCAAAATAGTCAGTCTCCTTGGGAGACCATAAGCTGTAAGTTGCTGTAAAAACTTCTACAGCTCATGGGATGTCGGGTATAATGGCGACCTGAAGTGACACCCTTGAAGCTGAACTTAGAAACTTAGGTAGCACGGTGATCCCAGGTCTGCCTTTGTGGATGACTCTACATATCAATTAGCTCAGACTGTAAACACATGATGTATAATTTTTTTTTTCTTACGAGTGTAATTTACGAGAAAATTGAGGTTAGCAGGGTTTCTTCACCCCTCCACTGGCGCGAAAGCCCCCACGCCAGGATAGAATCCTTTGCTGGAACTCCAGTCTTATTCTGGCATGTTATCCGATTGCCGGCACAAGACTTGAGGTTTCCTGCATACGTGACTTGGCAGGAAGGCAGTGTGCCGTGGTTATTCCGCCGAGTGACACAAATTCCGGAACAGAATCCGCAAGATGATGGGTGTATGGTGAATAGGGGCCCTGCCATTCAGCTCCACAACGGACATGAAACTATAAATGATATAATTAAGCCGCTAAGCTGTAGTAGGTGAACCATCGGAGTCGGATAAGTACCATTAGATATTCCTATTAGAGCAATTTTACTCTTGATGCTGCGGGGGTATACTCAATCGACCAAGAAAATGGGTCGCACTCCGTTCAATTTCTCGAGCGACTGGGCGGGGAAGCGGCCCGGGGAAGGTGATATCCAAGCAAGGTTTGAACAGGTCAATGTATCAGATGGCAGTACACTGTCTGGTTTCATACCTAATGAATTTGGCCGGCGTAGAGGGCCCAGGGTGCGATGTGAGTATGTGCATTAGCCACAGACTATAACCTGACAACGCGAACCACGCAATTTACACGCAGTTCTGAGCCTTGGGGGATATACACGGTAAGAGGTTACAATATGTCATTTGAATATCCATGGCTATCGGAGTTGCATCTGCCAGGCAGGGCGAAAAGAATGAGTAAGCCTTAGAATCAAAGAGGATGGGGAACGTTGCTACACAGCAAAAAGGTAAGATGTGACGATGCAATCAGACCGTCTGCACTGTCTGCATTTCACAGTCACATTCCTGGCTTGACTTTAGACGGTTTTTTATATCTTTTATTCTGACATCGGGGGGGCCTAATTAAGAAGGAACATTGTGTGCAAGACTCGGATACTGTGTCTTTAAGCGGAGTTGGAAGACAGCTGCCCATAACCTGATGATGCCCGCGCTTCCCCAACGGCGTCTTCGATATATGTGTAGGCGTGCGCCACCCAAACCATGCCTGGGGTCAGTAAGCTCACTTCTTCTTATTTCCTCCCCAGTATTCAGTGACTGGTTGTTCATGTGCATCTCTGGCATTGCACCGCTGTGATGGCGCTGTCTCTTGATCTATTGAAATGCCGACCAACTCCGAGTCAATGATCACGGTGAGCTACACTTTATTACTTTCATGTCAATATTTAATGGTTGCAAGAGCATAAAAGTTGTATTCGCACCACGTGAAAAGCCTAAATGCAAAATTTCATTCAATGTCATACACGACGAGCACGAGTGCGGCAGGAGATGGTGTATATCATGATGCATGATTCCTTGTTCGGGAGGTATCAGCAGCTTCAAACTCCGCAATAATTGAGATGCTTAGGGGCATGCAGAAATCCAGATGTGCTTCAACGTCCACGTATAAACCAATGAGCGTATATACTACACTGCATGACGGGCTATACATTAATTACAGCATAGAATGATTGTTGCACAATAATACTTGAGACAAAAAAGTCAGCCCCATCGTGAACCTCAAAGTCCGGGCATTAGTATCAACTCAAATCAAGTAGCCTGAGAGGCCCGTGCAAAACACATCTCGCGTACTCCTATAGCGGTGCAACACTCCATAGAACATTTTGAGGAAACATCGAAAGCAAAGAAATATATGAAGCGAGTTTTAATGCCTGAGCCGAACCGTAGGTCATGGTATCATCCTGGTAGGGTATTCCGTGCTTCAGTGCTATGCGATGGAAAGTGGGGCTTGAGGTTGAAGGCGCCGGAGTTGAATGTCACCTAGTGCAGTGCGTAGACGTAGCTGAGGCTGCCAACTGCCCTTAGAGATGTGGTGCAAGGACACCAAGATAAGGTCCTCCATTCTGATGTAGCGTGTTCCAACCCTCCACCTGCGGTCTGCCTCCATTTCCATACGTTCCATTTCCTTCTCCTGGAATCAATGTGAGATTGATTTACAGACGATACACAAGGATCGTGAAACATACTTCGATGAATCGTTTCACGCAGTTGGCGATAGTTTTAGCCAACTTAGCTCTGGTGATAGGACCTTTCGGACTTTTGAAGTCCATCGTGGGGATCTGCCTGGTCCATGCACGGTATCCGGGCCACTAAAGGCGTGAATGTGAGGAAACAGTCGAGCCATGGAAGAATTAGCATACCTGAAGCCGGATAGACACAGAGGGCCCGCAGTTCTCGAGCATCTTGTCATCTTTATCGAGAAGGTTTTTCATCTTAGCTTTCAGGGCGTCATCGAGTGCTATGCCCCACTGGTCAGGATGTGCTGTCTTAAAGATGACGGGCTCCTTGAGATCGGCTTTCTCGATGTAGCGCACACGATCCGCCTCTGTGTATGGTTGATATATCGACTGAGGGATGTAGATAGTGGTGCCTGTGACGGTAATCGCTTGATCGCGAATGGCCTTCCACTTTACGACATGTTCCATGGTTTGAGGCGCGTCTTCCTGTACCCATTCGCCTTAAACAACGTGTACATCAATCGAATCAATGGGTACGAACCTCGTCATCGTTGAAAGCTTGCAACAAAGACCACTCGTCAGAGCTACCCATGGCGGCGGGCGAATGAGGTGACATTGGGGAGAGAATAGGAGACAGGCCCTTCGACTTCTGACGCATAGATTGTGAGTGATTCGTATGATTGGTTCATCGAGACATACTAAATGTGAAATTGCAGGAAATTGAATATTTGAAGGAGATAATAGAGTCCCTAGGGGTGCATGGACGTGAAGGCGACCATCTGCCCAAGAGTAAGGAGTCTGGGGCATCATCAACCCTGCTGGAGTCGTCGAAGAATCAGATACTATCGATAACCGCGGCAGAGCAGCCTTCGTATCAATGCGAGGAAGCCCGTTCCTAGTAGAATCTTGACTGGGTGAAGAGAACGGTACATTGAACCCGGACTGTAGCTGTCCAGAAAATTCAACATGACCTGAATAGAAAGGACCCTCGTGAGTGGCAGTGGTACAACGTGGTAATCGAACAATAGCTGACCATGAAAGTCGTGACCTCCATTCGTGTGGCCGGTTTTCTGCATGATGAGGTGGTGAGCGAGGCAACTACCATACAGGGGAACGCGCACAGGAGTAACAGATTGTGGGGGATCTGGCAGCTGTTGTTGCTGCCCGGAATGACTGTGATCATCAGCATTGCAAAGGTCTGGAAAAGCGTCGGATGGAGGTGCGTCACTCATAGTGGGGAATGGTCTTGGATGGGAAAGAGGCAGGTCAATGAAGATATACCTAGCTAGTGGCACAGTTGTGTATAGATACTCACATGATGGCAGATTCGGATCAGCAAATCAAATGATCAGCCACATCAAAACATCATGATGTATCTATCTGGCCCCTGTGCAAAGTTCAGGATGTGGCATGGCATCGACTGCACCATGCGATGATGATTTAGTGTAGCGCGCAAGTTTTGCATCGGTTTTGCATCAGAGTTGGCAGTTGCTAAGGACCAGGGTGTCACCTTACCCGGGTCAAAACTCTTGGCTAATGATGATCTTATCACCTGGTGTGACCCAGACAGACGCCTAAGAGTGTTGAGAGGATGAAAGGTGCACGTTAGAGGGATGATTGGCAGTGTACCCTGGGTGAGAGTGATGTGAACCATGCGGCCTCAGATCGATAATAATTGAGATGGCAGAAGGGTCATCAGAGCTCCTGTGTTAGATGCATGACTACAGAACAAAAAAGCGATTCGTTTGTTAAGCCTATGAGACGGAGGCTGAGCAGATAAGTGTACTTCTATTCGATGTTTCTCGTCGCTTGAAAAGTTAAAACAGCGACACATGATGTACATGATACGCACCATATATAAATATCCTGTGACTCATACGTGCACGTGGTACCGAAATATTGACTCAGTTCTACTCTTCGGCGAGAGAATCAAGCACACAAATTTGTAGTATAGTCCTGTTGTGCAGGGTATATGAATCGATGTAGAAGGCTAGTACTAGTATTGTCCTATCGTTTTGAAGTCATTTGAATAGCTATCGAAATAGTTACAAAGCAGCAAGAAAAGACAGAATAAAGCCTATAGCGGAATTGTCACACTATACAGCAAACGGCACGGTGAGCGAGTAAGAACGAAACCTGAAAGCCCGGCGTTAAAAAGATATAAGTCTAACGGCAATGAGAGGCTCGCGCAAAGCGTATCTAAAACGTGAAACTCCATAAACGACCAGCACATTTTGATCAAAGAGCAAAAGGCACATAGAGAAATGGAGCGAATACCAAAGACTCGAACGGAACAGGCAAGAGCATGGTATCATCCAGATGGCACCCAGGCTATTCACCGCATACTATGCATTGTAATTGGCGAGATCTTTACCTCTGAATAGCTGTGGGTCTATGCGGAAGGCGGAGCTGGAGTTTGAAGGCGCCGGAGTTGAATGTCACCTAGTGCAGTGCGTAGACGTAACTGAGGCTGCCAACTGCCCTTAGAGATGTGGTGCAGGGACACCAAGATGAGGTCGTCCATTCTGATGTAGCGTGTTCCAACCCTCCACCTGCGGTCTGCCTCCATCTCCATACGTTCCTTTTCCTTCTCCTGGAATCAATGTGAGATCGATTTACAGACGATACACAAGGATCGTGAAACATACTTCGATGAATCGTTTTACGCAGTTTGCGATATTTTTAGCCAATTTAGCTCTGGTGATAGGACCTTTCGGACTTTTGAAGTCCATCGTGGGGATCTGCTTGGTCCATGCACGATACCCGGGCCACTAAAGGCGTGAATGTGAGGAAACAGTAGAGCCAGGGAAGAATTAGCATACCTGAAGCCGGATAGACACAGAGGGCCCGCAGTTCTCGAACATGTTGTCATCTTTATCGAGAAGATCTTTCATCTTAGCTTTCAGGGCGTCATCGAGTGGTATGCCCCACTGGTCAGGATGCGCTGTCTTAAAGATGATGGGCTCCTTAAGATCGGCTTTCTCGATGTAGCGCACACGATCTGCCTCAGTATATGGTTGATATATCGACTGAGGAATGTAGATGGTGGTGCCTGTGACGGTAATCGCTTGATCGCGAATAGCTTTCCATTTTACGACATGTTCCATTGGTTGAGGCGCGTCTTCCTGTATTCATCTATCTTTTAACAACATGTACATCAATCGGATCAATTGCTACGAACCTCATCGTCGTCGTAAGCCTGCAAAAAAGACCCCTCGTCAGAGCTACCCATGGCAGCGGGCGAATGAGGTGACATTGGTGAGGGAATAGGAGATAGGCCTTTCGGCTTCTGACACATCGATTGTCAATGATTAGTGTGATTGGTTCATCGAGACATACCGAAGGTGAGAATGTAGCATACTGAGTATTTGAAGGAGATAATGGGGTTCCTAGGGGTGCATGGACGTGAAGGTGACCATCTGCCCAAGAATAAGGAGTCTGGGGCATCATCGACCCTGCTGAAGCCGTTGAAGAATCAGATATCGATAACCGGGGCGCAAGAGCTTTTGTATCAATGCGAGGAAGCCCATTCCTATTAGCATCTTGAAGGAGTGAAGGGAACGGTTCATGGAACCCGGGCTGTAGCTGGCCAGAATATTCAACATAACGTGGATAGTTATAATCCATTTGACCCATTTGCTGTATGCTGGTGGTGAGCGAAGCGACAAGCATACAAAAAGATACACACAGGAGTAAGAGGGTACGAAGCTCTTGATATTTGTTGTTGCTGCTGTCCCTCAAAACCCAAACTTCCCCATACATCATTTTCAATGAAGACGCTGGCGAAGCCATTGTATGAGGGTGTATCAGTCATGGGTGGATGATGTCAAGAAAGATAGGGTTCCCCCGTTGAGAGCTCCATTTATATGACATAGAATGGGTAAATAATACAGCTAGTTGCTGTGCTGAGCCAAGGGGGGGTGGCTGATTTTGCGGCCGGGGCGCCCATTCCAAAGAGATTGTCGGGATAACGAAATTTGTCTAGTGGATCGTAGTCAGTGAAACGGGGCCTATACCAATACCACTAAGCAGTACAATTGCAAGTATACTGATCATGGAGTCAGGTTATATTATACTATGGGGGAACATAGAGGTGAGATTAAATTCCGCGATCACCTTAAGCGCGCTGGCGAGGCGTAGTTTCCAAACGAAACGTCCACACAGAAATGGGCAAGCTTCGATAAACGGCCAAGTGACAGTAGCATTCCAGATAGGTCCAAGTGACCAAGTCACGGAACATCTAGGAACGGAACCAGGCCATGGCTGAGCGCTGCGGGAAGATCACCGAAATAAGTTTGTTTGTCACAACAAATGGCAGCATGGCTAGAGAACCGCCCCGTGGCGTGAATGAGATTTACTCTCTCCAGTATAGTCGCTGGTGCTTGATAGCACAGCATTTTGAACTGCCTCTGCCACATGTCAATGCCCCAAATAACCAGCTCGTGCCAATTGAATGATTCGTCTTGTTTGGGAGATTGGGAGTAAAGATGGACGTATTGATGATATTGAACATGTATCAACGTTCGAAAGTGTGCAGACACGTACTACTACACGGCAAACCCACCATTTTGTAAATCTGGTGTCAAAAATAGAAATTATATATCCAATATCTCACACGCATCATCCATAGGGTTTTCGCGCGACATACCACGTAAATCATAAATATATATGCGATTATGTTCAAAAATATTTGATTGCCCGGTCTCTGTGCGACTTCTGTAGGATATAAATTAATTATTTAGGTGATATCTGTCCTAAGATAAGATGTTCGTATCTATGGAAATTGTCAGTTTAATGGTCGCCCGCAGATGTAAATGAGGTGTATTGATTGAGACATACAGATTATGTTTTCACCTGCATATCTGAGGCAGCATGTCCAAGTAGGTATGAATGACGAATGTCATGATACATCCGCTATACATGGCGGATATCTCTCTCGGTGATCGGCCAGTAATGCACCACGGTGGTACTCAGACTCGTATACAAAACACGACGAGACACCATGCATTCAACGAAAGTAGACAATTTATATAATGATTAATTGATTATAATTAAATGAGGACTACGAATGAATGAGCGCGCAAACTTTACCATAACAACTTTTTCTGAATTGTTTCCTGCCATACAGGCTGTGAACCTTTCACAAGAGATAGAGCCTTGCGGCGACCAGGGAACTCCTGCAGGTCGAGCTGGAGAAACTCGACCATTGCCCTATTCATTAGTCAGTAAGGTGAATAAACGGTGTACAGAGATATCACGTACTTGCGGTACGCATCTTCATACCCAGCAGTCTGACCTCCTGATTGCTCACGCGCACTTTTGCGAAGCTGCTCCAGCATTGCATCAACATAGTTCCAAAATTTTTGTTTGTTCCATTTTTTGAAGCCACCGTCGAGTCCAAAGCCAGATGTCGCACAATCAGGAGTACCAAAAGACTCGTCAGGGATTTCATTCGCATCCGCATCTGTAAAGGGACCTTCGATTGCAGTTGGATCAGCCTGGCGGTCCTCTTCGTCAACCAGATTGTTGGTGACTGCCGCTGCGGTGGAGCTCGCATCATGGCTGGTAGGATCGTTGAGGCTTTCATAGGCACCAGAGCGTTCTTCTTGATCCGCAGATCCCTGGCCTGGGTGATACTCCGAAAATTCATCCGCCAACTGAACCATATCAACATTGAGCGTTTTCTCAATATGCTCTACAAGATCTTGATGGAGCGAGGGGATGAGGTAGGGGGAGAAGGCTTCCTTGAGGGTGAGCTTTTCATGATCACAAACACCGATCAGGAAGATGCGAAGACAACGGCGCTGTCTCAAATTCAGTAAAAACAATCTGGATGCCTGAAGAAACCCACCAAAAATGCAAATCTAGTCCAATGCGAGGAGTCAACCTCCATGCCACTATGTATAAGTGGTTTGAGGGCATCCATGATACTCAATCTCTTGCTGACTGACATGGTAAGCTGCGGATAGAATGATCGCTGTGAACACTTTCTATCTTCATTCATTGAGAAAATACGTACTGTGCTTTTGATTTGGCCACGGATGGTTGACAAAAGCCGTGTGACCAATCTGCCGAGTTGTGAGCGCAACTCAGCGTCTTCAAAGAGTCCCTCAGCGATCTTGAAAAGATCATTGTGCGCTTGGATAAACTCCTGCGGTATGAACAATGAGCATTTAAGGCAATAAGAAGTAAATCCGAACTACCATCACATGTTGATGCGTATCAGTGATATAAGCAGTCAGGTTTGGAGATAGCATACATGCGGTAAGGCGGCTCTTCAGTGCACTCTGCAAATAGTCAGTTATGGAATAGATGAGAACAATCAATCAGTCGCACCTCGAAATCCTTAGAAGTCAGTAGTTTCTCGAGTTCTTGTAAAGTATTTATTTCGATCCCTTCTTCTCGTTCAAGCTGACCAGCCCTTAATTCTAGAAGCATGACGAACAAATCACCATTCTTGGTGAAATTAAGATGAAACTTAATCAAAATAATAAAGGAAGGTAGAATAGATCGTACCTCGATAAATGCCAGCAACTTCTTCAAAGGTATTCCACGTTCAGTAGCAAGCTGTTGTGCATATGTTTTGAGTCGCTTGGTGCGTCTTGGAGTGAGACAGGCTGCATTGGTGCTGGAATCCCTCCGACGCCGAACGCCTGCGCTAATAGGCGCATTGAGATCAGACGATCCACTTGGAGAACCTGGGCGTGAAGGACCGGTCAGAACAATTGAGGCATCTGGAAGAGGATTCAAAGACTGTGATTGAGAGCCTGAGCTGGTAGGCTGCCTGCGAACAACAGGAGCAGAGTGGGTTGAGAGTCCCGCGTCAGACCCAAGCAGTGAGCGAGCACGATGTCTACCATCCCGGGGTGGGGCCAAGCCCTGCACTCGTGGTCCAGGACCGATGCTATTTGCTCTCTGGGAGCCCCCAGATGTTGAGCGAAGTGGAAAGCGATTGAGCATCATCTTGGGAGGTCCTTCCTTGAGTTCTCAGTGAACACCCGGTGAACACGTTCAAGTTGCGCTTCAACATTTCCAACAAAACTTCCCACGCACATGAGCTAAGTTCAGCCACAATTCAAGTACTCAGAGTCGAGCGATGATCTGGATTATGCTATTAAAAATGTGCATTCCTACTACTGATAAAAGCGTGACGCACAGATTGGTGCCTGGCGGATGATTAGCTGCGGGACATTAATCGCTGTCAGGACCTGAGGAGTCTGCTTGGTCTGTTTTCTGTCAATAAATGCTTGCAAACCACTACAATTCGACAGTGAGCAGAAAGCTCAATATCTATTGGATCTGCCGTGAGCTTCTTCAGGGATACCTGGAGGATTCCGCGGGTCGGGGCTGACCCATCCACTCGGGGTTTGTTAGACATGTTGACTTTGAAGGTAGAGATAGATCAGTTAGACCGCTGTGTCATTGTAGTAAGAGTGAAGCTTACCTTCGTATTGAAAGTATATCATGTCCTCGTCGGCAGCTTGGGTGAGCTTCGGGGATACCTGGAGGATTCCGCGGGTCGGGGCTGACCCATCCACTCGGGGTTTGTTAGACATGTTGACTTCGAACTTAACCAAAGGTGTGCAATGTGCGACTGACCATGTCATCAAATCAAAAATGATATTAAAAATCACTAGGGGTGAAAATATTGACGAGAAGTGTCATAAGGTTGGGGGAAATGATAAGGATGTAACTGATGTGAGTTAGCTTCGAAGGCTGTAGAATACAGGGGATTATGCGCGGGTACTTGAATGGGTGGAGCAGGGTGGGTTAGAGATGAAAACTGACTATGGCCGGAAGATATTGAAAAGGAAGGCACCTGAGATGCCCAATGAGACATTTCTGGGGGTGGCGCAAACCCTGGCGGCGGGAGACGCCATTGGTGTACTGAGGATTGAGGGAATGATGAACTTGAATGACCAGGTGCTTGAGGGGGATTGGGGAGATGTGCAGTGTATTGCTGAGCGGCAGGTTGATGAAAATGAGGATGCGGTTGAAGGGGGCGGTGCAGAATATCTGGGGCATTTGACATGGATGCCTCGACAGGCTGCTGCTGCTTCGTCGAATTCGTAGACTTCACTTGCTTCCTGGATGTGGTCTTGGGCTGTTTCTTAGCTGCGCAATCAAATGCAGGACGGACACCATCGTCATCTTGGGGCACGCTCACTGCCTCGCCTCCGAGCTTTTTCGCCAGCCTCTTTCCCTGCATTTGTCTCACAGCAGCTCTTCGGACAGCTCCAGGATCTGAAACGCGCAATGGTGTCTCGGAGAGGGATTCCGGGAGAAGAGAACAGAGATGCTGGTAGTTATGGATGGAGAACATGTTAAGGAGATACTGTGGCGATATTTGGTGTTTCACGACACTTGCTGTTCGGTCAGTTTGGGTCCGCTCTTGCCACAGATGCTTGGTAGTTAACTCTGTGCATTTTGCATCGAGACAATTGTGCTGAACATTGGCGATACATATGATATCCTAAAATGCGACTTGAATTGAATGCAACAAAAATAAGACGTAGTAAGGCTCACCGTTCCTGACACAATGAGTTCCTCGTCAGTGAGGAGGAGACATGGCAGATGGAGCAAAGGGTGGCGTGCAGGCATGAAGGAAAATGTCTGAAGAGCAACAAATGCGACAGAGTGCCCAGGCGCTGTTGCAATTAATATCTCACGGATGCGTCCAATACGAGTCTGTTTGATAGTAAGTAAACTAGAAGTGACATAGTGGGGAAAGACGCACCTTCTCAAGCGCGTCTCGAAATATGACATGCCCACCCAATTGCGAAGTTTCATGCTCACTAGTCACTACCGAAGTTCCCTGGTAGTACTCGGAAGAAGGAGGACTTTTGAGACCGTTCTTCTTGAATATGTCTGCGCAGCGCGTCGCTTGCCACAGAACGGCTTCGTGCTTAGACTGGTCAGTCACTATAATTCTCCCTGTGCCTATCATAGCACTGTCAGTCTGTGAATGAATTGCAGGATTTGCCATACCTGGATCAGCTAGTTTTTGGTCAGGAATTCCAAGCAGACGAGCTTGTTCAGGATGGTGTTCAAGGTAGGTGAGAACCTGTGGGCCACCATGAACCCATCGTTCTGTATGGGTGTCATACCAATAACCGCCAGTAGCGATGTGCTTGGCAGTGTCGTTGCGAACAAATGTCATGCACGTGTCGCGACTTGGAGCTCGTCGATTGTTGTAAATGCATGTAAGACGGAATACATGATTAAACGACTCATAACGCTCAGTCGAAAAAATAATAGCAGGTCCAAAACGTCGAATGTAAGCTGGGAGGTGAACTAAAAAATGGAATTTCGGTTTGCTGATCAAGATACTGGGTGCGCACTGCGCAGTCACATTGAGAAAATCGCTTATCGTTCGAGCTAGCTTTGCCAAGTAGTGTTCGGTGTTGTCGATTTTCGTATGCCAAATGAGAACGACTAACTCTCCAATTAAGGTCCATCCATCAAGAACACTTTTCGGAACGAGATCGTAGACGACAAACGGCATAACTTGCGCGAGACTCTTGAAGTGCTTTCCGATTAAGCCTCCTTTATAGTGGCAAATGTAGTCGGCATTCAGGGATGGCGCATTCAGGCCATCTCTATCCAGTGAGTCGAGACGTGTCTGAAAACGAGTGAGTAGTTTAGCTTTCTCGAGCACAAACGCAGTCTGTCCCCAAAAGTATTTCACAACGCCGAGTAGAACCGTGTGAAGGATCTCAGTAGGAGTATCCATGTGAACATTTATATCTATGTACCAGTGTGAATTCAACAACCCGCATCAAAATCTGAGAACGCTCACTATTCATCCCTAGAAGGGGATTGATTGCGTCCCGGTGTGTCCTACCTTGCAATATATCCAAAAGCTCTTCCTCCAGCTTTGCACGAACTTCAGATTCCGGTAATGCTGGCTGTCCTACATCTCGTTTTCGTAGCTTCTTGCCCATTTCAACAAGCGTATTGATGATGGAAGATGAAGTAGAGTCCCGGATTCCAGTGGTTGATACGGCGGCCACAACCTTCCCTGTGGCTCCTGAACATAATGCGGTCTCGAACTGCTTGAGGACCTGTGATGTCGTTTCTTCGGGTGTTCGGGGTGTTCCTTCCTGTCTCACTCTTAAGATCAATCTATAGTGTTCATATTGAATAACACACCGTAAAAAGACTAACATATCCAGCCTCAGACTCTTTGTATTCCTTTGTCCCGCCAACATGACAAGTCCTGCAAAAGTAATTACAATTCAGCCCTGCGTGGCTGCATTCCTCGGCCTGCATTGGATTGTCCCCTGCAAGAAATAAACCTTCAGGAACGAGCATGACCTCCTCGTCAAATTTGCAGTCCCACGCAAAGATTCCTGAGTCTGCGGCTGCGCTAATCAATGCTTGAGTTGACTAAATGTGGGCAGCATAGCAGCATAGAACGCACCTGATAGACTCCTTCATCGCATGCATCAATTCCATCGGCGCAGCGTGTGGTGATGATGTTACGAATCGAACACAAAACTCTTTCTCCAGCATCTCACGTGGTAGGTTAGCATTCGACATGTAAATCGCGTGATGTTTATTCCACTGCTTTGAAACATTTCCGGAAACGTCGTCCATGAATATAATGAGAGGGACTGAATAGACCATCCGGCCCTTTGACTTTTCGCGTAGAGGATGTGGTGTGAGCTTCAGGTATTTTTCAGATGACACTAGGATTATGCTAAGTAGAGTCGCCTGTAGCTCAAACATGTACTTACTGGTAACCCCGCATGCAAGCTTGTCCACGAGATCCTCAAAGGAATGTCTGAAGTTTGAAACCGGAACGATCTCTTGTTCATCACTGACGATGAAACCGGCCTATTCAACCTGTCAGTATCTGTCATGATATCTACGAGACAGAGTTAGTACATACGTCTGTGTATTGTACCGCACGGCCCATAGCATATGTTTTGTTCTCCTGGCACGAATCCTGTGAGTCCCTGCCATTCACTGGTGCATACGAGGCAGTGAAGAAGCGTTCTGGGACAAAAAAGCCTCCTGAGCATTCCTGCAGAAGTTCGTTGACGAAATATATTTTGCCGTCCACACGAGCCGCCGGAGGTGACGGCAGTTCTAGCAGCATCTTCTGTCCATTGAAAACCTGCGACATTCCATCTCCTCCATCCTCTGGATAATCTTGCATGGAAAAGCGGGTGAGTGGATTCGCGTAGTCCTAAATGACATGGTTAGCATAGGATAGTCTGAGCGCCTGTAGTTTACCTTTGCAATTGCATGCCAAATATCGTTGATGTAAAAAACGTTGCCGGACGCTGAAGTTACTTTCCGCATTGGATTGCCGACAAGTTCACAGATGTGCTCGTTTGACTCCTTGACAGCCTTGAGAGACGGGACATCATGGGCACCCAGCTCCTTGGCCCAGCTGAGTACGGCTTTCTTCTGCACATCCGAAAATGGTAGTCGTGCAGAGCTAAACAATAACGCAGTCAAGAAGTGCTTTGGAAGCACAATGAGCATCCTCGAATCCTGTCAGAATATACACTTACCGCCTTCGACAACCAAGGATAGTAGGCGTCGCCCGGATTAACTTTCATATTTGCCTTTGTCTTCATACTAGAATCCACAGGAATTTCGTCTATGATTGCGTCAATAGCACGAATGAACACAGTAATGCTAAAAACTTACCCAGTAGTTCAATGCCAAAATAATCGTCATCTTGCATTCCAATCTCGTCTTCGAGAGCAGCTATGGGCGTTGCGATGATCTTATCGCCCTCGAGTAGCGAAGCTTCAAGTTCGTTGAAAAGCTCTCGCCCACCACCGATCTCGTATACATGGTGGTCTAATGCAATGTCCCACAGCGTAGACAGCGGCATTTCTTCTTCGACAGGTGCAGAGATAGATGTTGTCGGTTTGTTGTAAGCGTCGTCGTGACAGTCAGCAACCATGTCAGAGGCGTCCGAGTCAATATCGGATTCACAGTCGGTCGTCTGTGTGGGTCGTCGAGATTCTGGAGGGAAGGGGTTTTTGGACACCGATATTCTCCCAGAACGCTTCATTAATAGGTGTCGGATATGCACGGCAGTGTTGCAGTGACTTTGGATATGTCTGCGCATCATCGTCCGCAATTTACCCTTGAGCTGAGGGCAGACTGTGCAGACGACAGAAGTCCGCGCTGGATTACAGTATTGTAAAACTATAAATACAAGAATTTTTAATAACTCAATGACTCTTAAAAGTACTCACCTGTCCCATCAACAAGTTGTGATTCACCCATATTGATATTGACAGCGCTGGCTGCTGGTCGAGACTCGCCAAAATGATAAGTCCAATTGATCACGTGTCTGCTTCGAGTCACAGTTGTGACGGTCACCAAACGTTCAACATTCACTCAACACTCAACGACCAATCAACCTGCAAATTGTCGATAATATGGATCAGTGCCATTTTCCAACCACCTGTACTAATACTGCACCATCCTACACAGTTCAAACTTCAACGTTCTACCCACCGATCCGCACGCGGAATACAGAAGATGTGTTGTTGCAACCTTTGTGCATCGGAATATGTTTTTCAGGTGATCTTCCGAGACACCTTATTCGCGGTGTCGTTGTACTTCTCCTTCCTTCCCCTTCGAAATAATTCCTGATAAACCTTTTTAGCCAATCCAAATATCAGTTTCAATCGCAGAGGAGTATAGACCATATATGACTCCTGTCGTGGAAGCTCTCACTTTGGATGGATATCCCTATTCCGAATGTTCCTCGACTTTTGACGATGTAAGTGGGCAACTTTCTCATGTCGGGATCAATCTAAAAATTCTAGGCCCTTGATTCGAGCGAAAAGGGACACGAACTATCTTACAACAATGTCGATGTCGATATACCCATACCGTTCCTCCCGTTGCCGTCGAAATTCAATCCCGTGGATTCCTTTCATTGGTTGCAGCTGTCAGAGAAGATTCAGCATTGGCTGGTCACCATACCGGCAGCGTCGCAGCATTGGACATGGGGCCGTGATGCATTCTGGCTGGCCTTTGTAGGTGCTTGCCCAGATTTTCCACGCGGCCAGTGGCCAATGTGGGACCCAAGGATTCCCCTCGAGGGACAGTTCATTGAACATTGGCTTGACGCTGACAATTTGGGTGGAGATCAAATTGGGGAAAACTTACTAGATCACATATGGACCGAGTTCTGTGCTCACGCGATGCTTTTTCACCCCGACCCTTTGGTATCAGTTGGTTCGGAATAAATATTTCATCGTGTTTAACTTGTCGCGTTATATAGTGTAGATTTACTGGCGCTGTGGTTCAACTTGACAATATTGTTATTTGATACTTTGGTTAATGTGACTTGTTGTTTTGACTTGCCCAGCTGAATCCTGGCACGTGTACTTTGAGTCTTTGACCGTTGCGAATATTTTATGAGTGTTTTCATGCGCAGTTATTATGAATATATCGTGAATACGTCGTAAATTCGTGAGGCTTACATCCAATAGACGTGCAGCTCGAGATATCATCCTTACAAGTGGGATTACATCCGACTGATGACCCAAAACTGACGTGTTGATGATCTCCAAATGAGCTAATCATGATATTAGTACGATTTCTTAGTAACATTTTTCTCGCGACACTGAAATGACACTTAGAAAGTGATGCGAGATGATATATTTTGATTTTGTACGAAATTGGCTCAGAATACCCAAGCTTTATGTCTGACGTACACCCGAGTTATCCTTTTTGCACTATATTCGGATTACAAATTACAGGGTTTGCCGTGTACATAGCAGTGCACGCGATTTCCTTTTTGAGAACAAGTTTCTGTGGGGCTCGTTGAACTCACGCTCGAAGGGAGGGATTAGTACTTGGTCTAACAAGTCAAACCCAAACCTAGTATGTCATCTCTCGCTGGTGCCCTGTACCAGCCCGCAAGCTACAGTCATGGTTTCTCTACCGGACTACCACCTGCAAACCCAGGAGGATTCAATGACCGGGATGTGGACATGAAACCTCCGAGCACTGACGTTCTTCCGAAGGAGGAAGAGGACACTGCGGCAATTTCGGGGGTGCTTGACGACGGAGCACATGAGGAAGAAATGGAAGACCTCTTTGGAAACGAAGCAGACGAAAAACACGATGCCGCAGATACGAAATCAGACAGGTGAATACACTATGTTCGAGGACTCTTTGACGAGTACAACTGCTATCATCCTAGTGCTCCTGCCGTTACCCCTGCCGAATCAGGATTTGAGTCAGACGATCTCTCACAAACGGAGAAAGAGCATCGACAAGCACTAGAATATCTGGAACCTGAAGAGCCAGGTATCGTTGTGGAACAAGTCCGGGAGGCTGATGTGCGCATTCCCAATATTCCCGTTCCAAAGAGCTCAGACGGCGATGTATGTAATATTGTCTCATTATTATTTCTGTATGCTGAAGGCCATATTTCCATAGCACTGGGTAATTAGGATGCCAACCTTTGTAAAAATGGACTCAAAGCCTTTTCATCCGGACACATACATTGGCCCAGAGCACGACGAGGATGATGGCCACCACAATGAGAATATCCGTGAGAAGAGCATGTCTATTAAGCTCAAAGTCGAAAACACTGTACGTTGGCGATGGACAAAAGATGAATTTGGCCAAGATGTAAGTGATGTAAACTCAAATCCCACAAGCCTCTGACGCCTAACCTCCTTATCACAGAAAAGACAATCAAATAGTCGCGTGATCCGTTGGTCCGACGGCTCTCTCAGCCTGAGACTAGGAAAGGAGCTGTTTGATATTACGAAGACTGTTGACACATCTGGTGGTATCGTACGCCAATCGTTGGGAGGTACTCAGTCGTCGCAACCATCACAGAGCCAGCCAGCATCACAAGGTCTGCTTTCTAGCTCAAGATCTCAAGGTTTAACATATCTTGTCGCACAACACAAACGGTCAGAGGTACTGCAAGCCGAAGCTGTAGTCACAGGGTATATGACACTGCGACCGACGGGCATGCAATCCGAAACACATCGTATGCTGGTGCGTGCGGTGGGTCAGAAACATAACAAGGTGGCTCGATTACGTATGGCCCCTGATCCAACCATGGACCCCGAGCGCGAGAAGATGGAATTAATGAAGCAATCGGCTCGAAAATCCAAAAAGAAAATCGACGACACTGGATTTGGCGTACGTAAAAAGAGGTATGGCCAATCGAGGAAAAGGCAGGGACGCGATATCTGGTCAGAAGACGAAGAAGAACCAGAATATGAGGGTTCAGAAGATGATGATGATTTGGGTGCCTCCAAACGTAAAGCAGATGAACAAAAGAAAAGGGGTCCCGGCGAATATCAGGAGGACGATTTCGTGGTTGCGGATGAGTCAGATGACGATGCGGAGTTTGATGGTGAGGCTGGGTCCAGGAAGAAACGGAAACGTCGAGAGCAGGAGGAGGAGGATCCTCTGGACCAGCTTGATGCTAAAATTATTCAACGCCAGCAAGATGACCGGAAACGGAAACACCATGACATCGGGATCGATGGGGGCACAACAGAAACTGCGGAAGATGGCGCAGAAGCAGGTGAAGATGATGGTGACCAAGACATGGATATCGAAAGCGAGGAAGAGGAAGAGGAGCATAGGGTTCGGAAAGCCGGGTCTGGCGCACGGAAAAAGAGAACGATGGCGCTTGACGATGACGAAGAATAATCTTGTGGCCACCTATCTTCATTCATTGTTGTTCTATGTAGAATTACACATGGTCTGATGCTTTGACAGCTGTTGGTCGTATCTATCTCAACGTAGCTCCGACTTTCTCGCGCAACGTGCCCTCCTCATCCCAATATCCCGATGGTTGAATGCTGTTCACTTCATCCTGATTTTCCTTGTTGCTGTCCAACAGGTTCCGAAGTGCTAATATAGCATGTTCCCGAAGGTCTAGAAATTCAGCGTCATGAAGTCTCGTACACTCTCACAGACGAAAGTTTGACATACACGGGTTGCGTTCGTCCACAACACACATATTCATAATAACAGGAATGCCCCCGCATACCCTAATGCGGTCCTGGAATGTCTTATCTCGATGGCAAAGCACCCCGACTAAACGCACAAGATCGCGTTTCAAATACGAGAATCCATTGGCTCCTGCGACAGACGATGGGATGCTTTGATCTGTCGCAGGATTCAAGACGGGCTTGCCAAAGTAAATGCGTGGAAGAAACGCGTCAAGAAGCCGCAAGAGTTCTGGATAAACATGGTCAGGTGATATGTTCTGATCTAGCTTGACAGCCTAGACTTGCCTATAATGCTCTCGGCGGTGCACTGACCGTCAGTTGAGCAGGCATCTCGAAAGATCGCTCGTAATTCTACAGCGGATGGATCCATAGTCCGTCGGTCCTCGGATAGTAATGAGATTTTGACGATACATTGAGTTGCTAATACGAGTGCCTCGCATGATTTTGGCAATAATAAATCAAGTTCTTGCAGGTGTTCAATGGAACTATCCAAATTTGGCTCCAAATTGATGGGATTGATAGCTCGCTTGATAGCTGACTGAGAATATGACGAGAGCGAGAGGAAAATTTCCGACAGCATAGGGCACATATCGCAGTGTACAGGACAGGTTTGAGACGATTGTAGGTATGAGTCGAGGAGTTTCAGAAGAGTAGTTTGGTGCTGCGCGATTACCTCCCCTTCACTGCCTCAGAGCATGAGTACTTTGTCTGCGTGAAATAAGAGTATTCCACGTACACAGACAATGAGCTGTACAGATCTGGTGCAAAGCCGCCGTCAAATAAGTGGGCGAACAAATGATACCTATCAAAGAGAGTCGTTATGGAGTTTTACAACACACAGTTACAGTTACCCATAGTCAAACGCTTTTGCGCCGTCGGTGGATTCCTCCGCGTCGTACAATAGGACCATGCGGTCCAAAAGCGTTATGCATATTCGGGCTCCTCCGCGTGACTTCGTGAGTAAAGAACTGGATGCAAAAGGAACCGGTCAAGGGTTAACAGAGTAACCGAAACGTTACGTACCGACGCTCTGTACTATCGTGAATGCAATTTACCATAAGTACCAGAAGTGATAGGATAGTCTTATGGTCAGGGGAGCCGAGCAAGCGACTGGATTTGTTCCAAAGAAACAAGTCAACTCCTGTAGCTCAGCAAGTAGCTGTGGTGGCTTACATGAGAATAGCCCGTTCCTCAGGCAGAGTGAGATAAGTACTCCAAAGGCGGGATGTGAGATCCTCGTTAGTAGTAACAATGTTCGAGAGTGCTTGAACGGCCATCCTAGTAGCCGGAAAAGCTGTAGATGAAAGGCACCCTATTTGAATTGACATGTGTGTTGCAAGATGGGTGACTCACAATCCGTAAGTTGAAACGCAGACCAGGAGCTGTACAAAAGCAGAACACGGCGAAGAGCTGGCTCGACTCCACTTGAAACTCGCCGGGCCGTTAGGATATCAGTACCAACTAACATGTTTTAGACTCACAATGCATTCTGCTGGTTCACTGCAACGCCTGCGACAATATTCCTAGTAAATCTGGCGACGCTTATTATGAGGACGCGCAACTCTGCGACATCTGCATCTGCTGAAGGATACCCAGCAAGGAAATCCCACAACTGTTGGAGGGACAGCCATATCGAAGGGTTTTCGGACCCCATACGAATCCTGATTTCTATTTATTTCGAATTCATATGGAAGGTGGCTTACGGTCTCACCTCAGCTCCCCGCTCCTTGCAAGATCATCAGCGATCGTATCAAGTACCCTTGTTAGAGATGGGACACTGTCCTTGCCGTTCTTGCTGAGAAAACCAGCACAGATCTCGCAAAAGCGGACGTTGAGCGAATTTTGGTCGGAGCCCATCTGGATGAGGAACAAGCTTTGTTGAAGGGTGGAGTGGCGGTGATCACAAGTGATTCCGCGACACTCAGCCGACTACCGATAGCGCCTGAGCCGCGGCGCTCGTGCACGCTGCCGCATCTTACATTACGCGCTCATGGGCTCCTCTCGAAAGCCCACAGTATGTTAAACGGCTATCATATCCGACTTGAATTGTACAGAAAGATTATTGATGATTCACTGTCGCATCCTGACACTGTCGACACTTTCACGCCGAAGGCTTTATTTCAAAGCTTACCGTCACATCGCCCCAAATCAACTATCAGGAGGAACGCTTTATTCAACTCAGCTCACAAGGATTACAGATTTGGTCCAATAAGACTCGACTGGATTGATTTTGAGGGTTCGAATTCTGCTATGTATGCTGGTAAAGAGAAACAAGCAGGGCGAGGTGCGAGTAATCATATATTGTACGAACAAGAGTTCAAGCCGTCTGTTTGATGTCTCAGGCCCCTCTACAGCAGAGTTTATCCCTAATAGGACAACGAAGTCTGGCTCGACAAATTTGCCCGAGGGCACAGTTCACGTATACCGCCAATGTAGCGAACGGCGACATAACGGTGTGGACGAGTCTAATGAACCCTCTGCCGCAAGTGCAAGCGAGACCGTCCCAGAAGATGGCCCCATGCTTGGTGTATTAGCAGTTCCTGCGTGGATGACACCTTCAGACTTTCTCGCTTTCGTGGCACCCGCTGCGGAGGGTATGGCTCATCTTCGCCTCATTCGGTGTGCACTTACATCCAATTATTCACATCCTGAGGCTTATAGTATATTTTAAGAGATTCCCTTCCGAATCGCTCTATCGCTATTATCAAGTTCCGGCAGGCCGATCAAGCCCTTGAATTTGCAGAAGCATACAACGGTAAACCATTCAATTCTATGGACGCAAGTGGTTCAACGCTTCTCTTAGCTTGACACTGAGTGTTATCACAGGCCGAGACGTGTCATATTGTGCGTGTCCTATCTGTCGAGATAGAATCAGACACATCAGTTTCCTTCGCTACTGCTGCGCGTTTGCCTCAGTCGGTTTACGAACTCCCGACCTGTCCTGTATGTCTGGAAAGGATGGATTCGGGTGTCACTGGTCTCATCACAGTCCCTTGCTCGCATACATTCCATTGCATGTGTCTTAGTAAATGGGGCGACAGCCGGTATGCTGCAGTTCATGGCAGTTCCTCATTTAGTGACTTATGATTGTCACCAGATGTCCCGTTTGTCGATATTCGCAAACACTTCTTTCCTCACATCCCACGTCGTCAACCTCGCGTTCACGACCCATCCCATTTGCAAATGCTGCCACCACCTCTCTTTCTACGTGCGCCGACTGTTCCTCCACCGCGAACTTGTGGATCTGTCTGATATGTGGCAATATCGGCTGCGGGCGCTATGGCCGTGCTCATGCACACGCACATTACGAAAAGACAACTCATCTCTATGCTCTCGAGCTTGAAACACAACGCGTATGGGATTATGCGGGCGATGGTTATGTTCATCGTCTCATTCAGAACAAAGCGGATGGTAAACTCGTCGAGCTTCCTTCCGCTGCGTCCTCGATGGGTGTCAACTCCCGGGATGACGGCACGTTAGGTCCAAGCCACGCAGACTCTCTCAGTGCTGAGAAGATCGAGGCGATTGGAATTGAGTATTCCTATCTGCTCACATCGCAGTTGGATTCGCAGCGATTATTTTACGAGGAACAGACAACTGAACTGAAGACACAGGTGGAAGAGCTGCGAAACATGGTAGAAAAGCTGAGTCTAGACCTAGCAAAGGACAAGACTGAAGCGAAGGAACGCGAAGCACAATGTCATCGAGAAGAGGAAGAAAGATTAAACGAGGTTTACAAGGATAAGATCAAGGCAGAGAAGAAAGCGGAACGCATCGCAGAAATCGCAAGGAAGTTTGAAAAAGAATTGAAGGAAGAGAAGGCCGTTAGTGAGGGACTTTTGAAGAATCTAACCAAAATGAAGGAGACAAACGCACAATCGGAGGTGCAGCGTCAAGAATACCAGGCTAAGATCGATGATCTTCAGGATCAGGTCAGAGATGTGATGTTCTTCTTAGAAGCTCGGGCGAAGATCGAGCAGGAGGACGGTGCGAGTGCTGAAGCGGCAGGAGGCACTGTTGAATTGCCACCTGCCTCCAGCGCGAGTAGTGGCACGGGGAATAGAAAAAGGAAGACAAAGAAGGGCTGATGACTCATTGGGTTGGTACTGGTGCTGTACGACTCTCGGCCGACTCATACTCCGCAGCACATATACTAGGCGTATGACTCCTTTTTGATATCGACCCAGCCAATATCTTTATAATGTTACTCAATACTGCCTATTTGCTCCACAGCATGGCACATACGAAGGCGCTGTTAACTTCACAGGATGACATGTGAGATACTGTCGCACTACACTCGCCCGCCGAGATAAGAGTGAGTGACGGAGGATCTCGTGTCACTCGTGCAAACTATCGTGAGGAATGAGAGCAGGTTGAACTAGGCGTTGGCGTAATGCAGAGTGATGAGGGTCTGTGCTGGAAGAAGCTGCAGTGGCATCCACTATGTCAGCTTTATCAGAGTCTTTCACGAGCTTCTCGTTCCTCGATAGTATGCGCGGAGCATGTTCTGTTTTCGTGTTTGATTGGCGAGAGTCCCATATCATGAACAGTATAATTTCTGCAAGGGCAACAACGAGAGCAACAGATGTTGCGAACAAAACTCTCTGCATAGACATGTATGAGTATCAGATAACACCCAGCGGATTATTCATACCCATTCAAGGCGCAGGCCCGTACGTTCACTTGCCCACCATGTTGCAAAACCGGTTCCTGCAACGCTGAGGACGCCATTAACGATCGTAGATACTGCCTTCTTGTCATTTGCTGCCTGCCGGCGCTCTGTTTCTGGGTCCTTTGCTACGTATGCTGGAAACTTCTTTTCTGGTGATGTTCGCGTGCCAGCAAGCAGAGAGACCATGGAATAAGACTGAGGATCCAGCGAAGAGCTCTGCAGTGTTTTGAGACCTGCTGGTGAGCGAGACCATTGGGATATCTTGAGGAGAATGTAGTACGGAATGACAGTGCTTGATGGTGTTATGAAGGCTGACAATTCGACAGCCAGGTCGTCGGGTAAAATAGTCGGAAGAGCATTTAGAACTTCTAGAAGATGATCCTCTAGAGATATGTCTAATTCATGTGTTCGGTTCATGCCTACGTTCAACGTTGTGGGCAAAATATCCCAGAATGTCAGAGATTTGGCCAGCCTGGATGGGACAACTTGAGTTACTGGGACCGGAGTTCGAACCTCACGACGTTTTCCAATGCTAGTCAAATATTGGCTAGTCATCCCACTGACTTGAACGCGCCCGCTGCTGCCCAACGTTCAACCATCAATTCCACCTCAACTCTAGCCGCTCATCCACCGCTTGTCTAGGACCTTTCCTACCCACTGCCCTTTTTTTTCGTGCCCGGACCTCGATGTTGCAACATCTTGAAGGCTCTTCGACAGTCACCTGTTGCTCAACCGCCCCTCCCAAACTCGCAGCGACTTGATTACCGCTGCTACGTTTCCAAAGACTATCATCTCCTGGATATTTTCTTCGTGCCATCCCTGATAGATCTCACTATCGAGGTTCATCCTGCCAGCTTTCCCGATGTCTCATTCATCTCACCTTTTGCCATCTTTTCGGTTAAATGTACCACGAACTCATCATGGCCACTGTGTCAAATGTCAATATGAGCCTTCCTCATCTTCAGACGCTTCATTGCGATCAATTCAGCCAAGTAGCGATCACTTTCGTCGCATGGCACCCATCACTGACCGAACTGGACATCAGTATCCCGAGTGGCCTTCCATACAATCTTCCACAATTTCCGCATCCTACTCTCCCCAGGCTACCACCCTTTGCCCAGATCAAAAGCTTTGGTATAAATTCCGTTCGTCTGACTACCATCAGTGCATTTATTAAGGCGATCCAATCATCTCCTTCTCACTTGCGTATTGCGACAAGCCAGGCGTCGTCACCTGAAGATTTAGAGGGATTTTTCAGTATCTTGTCAAATCAATGGAAACATGATTTTCTTCAAATTCTTCAACTGAAGTCCTCTCCCGGGTGCACCTATTGATATAAACACCATCAAAGCCTCTACTTCACTTCTCAAAGTTGCGAGAACTTCACCTCTTGACGGGAAACCCCATCCGGGTGTTCTCTACTATGGGCGATTCTTGGCCTGACCTCGAAGTCATCAACCTCAATGACGGATATGCGGAGGCGGACCCACCCACGACCACTCTGCGTGGCCTCATCTTACTGGTAAATAAGTGCTCTCTTTTGAGGAGGGCTCACCTAGCGATCAACATGAATGTGTTGGAGGAAATAGAGGAGCGTCCCGTACCCATACTTGGTGCAAAGTATCTCGTGCTTGCGAACACCGTTGTTAAAAATCCGAGAGCTGTCGCTTTCGTATTTTCTCTAGTGTTCCCGAAGGTGAAGAAAGTGGATGGCGTAGATTCAGACATTTGGACAAGGTGATTCAATGAGCACTCGAGATGTCCAGATCGGTCTCATAGAAGTCGTTGGAGTCCTTGGACTGATTTTGTCGATACGTGCAAGTTAGTTTTTATCACCTGGGATATCGGTTGAATGGGTTATTAGCGTAGAATTATGTTGTTGGTGTTGTTACGTCCGAGAAATGTCTAGATCTACAATTGAATCAGTAGCCGATTGCAAGTCCAGCATATGAAACGCAGTGCAAATAAAATGTGCTAAGAAAAAAGAGCAATAAATATTGAGACCCGTAGGTCTACCACTCCGGGAAAGCGTGTCATCCTTGTGCAGGGGCCATGCTAATCTTCTCTGTATCGTTCCAATTTTTCGTATGTCACCCCGAAGGGGACAATCCTTAGTAAGAGGCGAAAGTCGATGTCAACAAAAAATTGCATTTGTGATGGAGGCCGGGTTCGCAAGTTACCTAAAATGGCATGCACTGGAAAGACATTTCATCAATCTCTCGTTCCTTTGCATACAAAACCGATATCGATTCGATCACTCGACTTGCGACGACTGTGTATGTTTCTACCTGACAGGTAAGGTTGGGGAACCTAATTGTCAATCATTCGGGTGTGCACATCTGTGACACCACATTCCTTGCATGTTCATGCGAGTTCCACTCAATCGATTGCTAGATATGATTGCGTCATTGGCAGATAAGAGGGCGACAAAGTATGACCATGCGTTATATGTAAGTATGTGTAGGTATTAAAAATGATGAAGAGCGTCGCGGACGAACGAACCAAAGAAAAAAAGCATCACGATCAGATCAACCACAAAGCACCCCAATAAGGAACCAAGAATGAGAAAATATCAGTAGTGAAGGATGGAATAATGTACATGAGAAGTCATTGTCAGTTTGTGGTAGGGACATTATATGACACCACTTCTATGTTGCACAGGGAAGGCAGAGGACATTGGTGAAACCTGATTTTGGTTCGCACCTTCAGTGTCGAGGGAGACGGAAGGTCCACTGCTAAGTGCGGGGGCGGAGCTCGTACTTGGCGTTGGTGGCACCGTGCCAGGGGTAGGCACTTTGCCAATGAACCATGACTGGTAAGGACAAGGATGGTTAGTGGAGCTCTACAGGTACGAAAAACGTAAACGCACAGGTACCCATCCTCGATCACCACCATCTTCTTTGACAGCCTGCATAACAGGTGAGCTGGATATCACAAACGGTAAACTATAACTTACATATGACCAGTGATTGTATTTCTTGAACACCCTTAGCGCATCATCTTTCACTAGATCCAACTCCTCTTCCCCTTTCTTCTTGTAGTCCATAAGAGCTATTCCTGGGAAACTCGTCGATATGATGCTCAAGGGGAGGATGGGCGTCTTAGAATCAGCTGCTAATGGCAATTCGGAGGATCCTGCTGCCTTCGAAAGTGCGGTAGCCTCTGCAATAGCAGATGCAACCGGGACATTGGTCTCAAGCAGGCAACCTGCAGGTACCCAGCCCTGCTTTGAGGTGTCGGTGTCGACCACACCCGAACCTGTCGGGTCCCGTTGCACCACCCACCACCCTCGTGCGCGCGATAAAATGACGAATGTATCACCACTAGATGAGACTTGAGTATAGCTAACGCTAGTCAGTAGTAAAAACACTTACACAACCACGTCAAACTCATCTTCCTGCTCAGCCATATACGGGTATATTGCAACCGCGTATGATACTCCAGACATTGGTGGAGGCATCTCCCTCCTTGCTGTGTCTGCATCAGCGGTGCTCGTGCTCCTTGTTTTTGGAACCTCTATGGTGCTCGTATGGCCAACGAGTGTCGTCGAAGTTGAACATGTGTCTCGGTTATTCACAACTTCCTGTTCTTGCTTCTCCAGTACTGGCGACATAACCTCTGGCCATCCAGCTTGTGGTGTTGTGCCTGTTAACAGGGGTGCAGGAGGTGTGATGTCGTTAACTTCCAACCTCGGTGGCCGTGTGGCTGCTCTGCCCTGTCCTGATGATGAAGACTTATTGTTCGATTGGCCAGATGATGACTCCGATGCAACGGACGCCTTGCGCAACGCGTGTTTTTGCTGTGCAACAGCGATAGGAGAACGGATGTCTTTGATGTGCTTGAGCATGAAAACAGGGTTTTTCTTCGCGTCTTTGAGCTTTTGGAAGAGTAGAAGAGGCTTTTCATCGTAACTGAGACACCGCTCGATGCGGTTTCCTGCAGACCAAATAAGACATTTCTGATCGTAGAAACTGTCCTGCTTACCAGGGGAGCCGTAACATATGAACATGGCATAATTCTGCCAATGATCGTTGTTGATCTTGTACTTCTTGAGGGCAGCGGGAAGCACTTTCCACGTCGGGTCCTCTAGACTGACCTTGAAACTCTTGAGATTGTCGGTGCTGTCTTGCCGGCTTGGTCTCGATGATGACGAAGGTGACGGCTGTACAGGTGATTCTACAGGTGCTGGTGGATGCTTGTGGGATGAATTTTGTTGGATCCCGCGACTATGAGAAATATCAGGTTCCACTTGTTGGGGTGAAGGATGGGGAGATTCAGCGTCGGGTTTGGTTGGTGACTTGGTAGGGTTGACATACTGAGCCCACTTGAAAGAGGGCTGTCGCTTCAGTGGAGTATGGCTGATCTCTTCGACAAGCAGTTGAAACCTTTCGTTCAGACGTTTGTTGTCTTCCTCAAGTGAATGAACTTTTTGTGCTGGTGCATGGAATAATCTTAGTACAGTGCTATGATGTGGAAAGGCTGATGACAGACCTTGTTCCCTGACGAGGTCGTGTAGTTTCTCCACCGTTACATTGCGTTCCTGCACTTCGGCTAGAGATAAAAGTCAATTTTTGAAGTAGTAGCCATCACAGAAGTGCGCACAAGGAGGAATGTAGTGGTCGGCTTCGACAGGCACATGGTGGGCGAGCTTAGCCTGATAGACGGCTTTAAGGATGGCCAATCTCTGACCCACTGTGCTTATCCCGATTGCCTTGAGATCCTCCGCATCTAGCATGCAAAGGACATCACCAGATATATTGTGCTCTAATATATGGGATGTATTCAACATTTGAACATTCGGAGATGACATGAGCAGCACCTTTGATCTGAGCTTCATACTGCGCAAAACCAAGACTTGAAAGCCATCGGTGGACATGGTCTTCATCCCAATCCAATATGTTACGTTCACCGTTTGGAATATCCATGGCCATGGCGAAGACAGCCGCGACTGAATGCTAAGGGGGATCAGACAAGGGCAACTTGAGAGAAGACCTGACACCGCCAGTCAATTCTTATTTACCAGGTGCAAAATGGATCAAGCACTTCCACACAATTCCACATGCCATTTTTGGTACGAATCACATGACTTTATTACTATTATAGAAGGTGCATATTGCCACTGTCTCTATTTAAAAGATTCATTGGCAGCGACCTTATACATTAGAAAGTGAGGACCTGCACTCTAACATGCTCTCCTTCAATACGTGCTTAGCCATTACAGTCAGGCTGAAACCGTCCAAATTTTTTGTGGATTCAGGGACAACCCCACCGGCTGAGTATATCGTCACGGTGGGGTTGATTGAATTTAAACGCAGGCTGTCTTCGATATTCTTAGCGACTGGCATGGAAAAGCAAAGCCCAAGCCAGAATATCCAGCAAAGAATCGCGAGACAGACCACGTCCTTAGGTTCCCGCTGCAGACACACATGTCCTAGGATAAAGATCTGTTAGCTGGGATAAGAGGGATGCTAGGGTGGCGGGGACGGTAGCGGTTTTGAACCTGCGGAAGTTCTTGTCGACCGCGCCAACTTTTTCCTTCTGTTTAGAACTGATATCACTAACCCTATATACCCAGTGGGAGTAAAAGTTCCGAGGCACGACTTATTAGTACAACCGCACCCTATGGCCGGCTAGCTACATACGGTAACTGTGACCCACCGAGAGGGTGGTTTACGGCTGGATGAGGGCTAGTGGGTGAAGGGGAAGCTTCATATCACAGATCTGGGCCTTTAGCTCAAACTGGATCCTAATCCCACTTGCCAAGGTACTGCGGCGGCCGTTTCCGGTTCGCGTCCTCCACGCAGAGACGATGGATAGTGCACAGCGAATGCTAAAATAGAGTTCTTGCTTCAATAAATTCTGCGGGGTTTGGTTGCGGTTCTCACCGTATACGATCGGCCGAGCACAGATAGCTCTCATGAAGCTCCGTATGAAAACATATGGAAGCCAGTTGATTACACCAATCCCGACCTGATGGGAATCCACTGCAGCGCATACGGTGCATCATCATGATAAGGGACCGCCACGTGTGATGGGCGACGTTCTAGACCCAAGGTCAACAAGCGGGACGTTGCACGATGATTGATGTAGAGTTGATCGGGCTCCCATGAATCCACGAACACACTCGAGTACTTGACGCAACGACACCGCCGATGGTACCGAAGTCCTTGTTCAGATCGATCCCAGCTTGACCTTCAAAAGGATAGATCGCCATCATAAACATGCGGCTGAGGTCGAACAACCCGATACTGAGCGCTGAGCAACCAGCCAATTTGCACGATCTCGACCTGTCATGACAGTGATGGTACAAGAACGAATATTAATATTCCCACGCGACCCCCCACAACTTGGGTCATGCAACTTTCACTTGAAGTGTTTGAGTTTGACATTCTTTTAGGGTAAGGGTATGTATAGCTGCATCCTGGACAAACTAGAGTCTGCCCAATATCGCGAGTGAACGGCTGAAACATTCTTCTTCAGTGGCAGCCTGAACAGGTTCAACTTACTTGCTATGAACAACCCTTGGGCCACAACCTGGGAGCAGCCAGACAATCAGCCAAACAATCGCAAGACACCCATCCCGACACCGTCCTGGAACTATACCATTGGAAATAAAACTCAGGATCAAGAGGAAGATATAGGACTTCCATCATGGTCCGCAAGCAACGATGCACAATGGCCAGAATCATCTCACACCAGCGACGCTCTCTGGACCTCTTCCATCGATGACAGTGGCGTGTGGGGCTCTTCGACGTACGCAAAGATAAACCTTTCTCGTCGGAGAATAACAGAAGCAGTTGTTGATTCAGAGACTCAAGATGAAGTCGTATGTCCCGTACCCGCAGCCAGCGAAGAAGACAACGTTGCAGGACCTGCTCCCCCAGATTCCGTAGAGCCTCACCTAGTGCCACCAACAATCGATCTTACTCCCCAAGTTCCAGACAGCCCTAATGTAGATGGTGATTTTGAAGCCAGCCCGTCTGTCAAAGGGGAAGATGAGGAAACTGAGGATGACAGTGAGGTATGGGCAGACCCAGTAAACCTCTCAATAGACGATGGTGATGAGTGGGGTGCCGCTTGGGTGGATACATCTGCATCGGAGGTATCTGTCGGTGCTGGAGAGCCACTAGATGAATGGGAATCGGCGCGACAAGAGAAAGAGAAGTTAAATCGTGCAGTGGTATGAATGGTATTTATGTGCGTGAATCTAACTTACTAGTGTTTAGCCTCCAGAAATGATGGCAGCTCTCGTTCAGAAGTGCCAGGAAGTCTCTGGTGAGCTCTGGCCAGGGACGGCCTTCGACTCGGATACTAGCAACTGGAGGACTGGTGTTGATGGACTTGAGAACATGTATGTACATAACCCGGTATTTCCCTACGGTGCAATTTACATACCTTTTACTTCAGTGCGGTTTTATTAAACGACTTAATCCCTGAGAACATGGTTTTGTCCCCTCCAACGCAGTTCTCACAGACAGCCACTGCAAAAGAGTTAAATAACGCGCTCAAGCTCACGAGGCATATGCCTTTGACACGTAAGAGCCCAATGGCCCTCCTCCTTAGTTCCAAAGGATCAACGGACTGGGAGAAATCAGTCAAAGCTAGGAAAGATATTCCTGTGGACGATGCTCCAGCGGGGTGGCGAATCCTAGAAAAAGACGAACGCGCTACTATTACTGATCCAAGTCATCCAAAGAAGCCTGGCGCAGGATTGCTTTCATTCTGGAACCGCAAGGCATCATCATCAATACTTTCTGCAGACGCAAAGGTCGAAAATGCGCGACCACCGTCTATACCTGCGCGTTCTAGCATCGATAACACAAAGCCCCAGGTGCCAGATAAACGTGATGTTTCTCCCGTTCGCACTCCAACTATTTTAGTACCTTCATCCCCAGTGGCCAGCTCATCCGCAGCTCCTGATGTCATGATTCCAACGGTCACACCTGCACCATCGGCCGTTTCGCGCTTTCTGAACCGTTTCTCACGTGCCAGAGGTACTGGATCTGAGCGCAAGTCTATTGCTCTGTCAACAGACGACCTTGATTTCCTTTCCGATATTGTGCCAAGTGCACATGACCCCGATGACGACACGGATGATGCCCCGCTGAAAGCGCTGTCGAGTTTGATAAATTCAAATCCAACACCATTGCCTACAAAGCTTCCACCCCCACTCGCACCACCACCAAAACCTCCATCTGTGAATGCCAGCCGACCCCCTTCCGTCGGTCTGAGTGGCTTGGGCATTACGCTGGAGCCTGCGCGTAGTTCTCCGCATCATGCTTCTGCTCGTGCTCTATCGCTGCCGCCACCATTGTCGCCAGTGACGTCAGAGATGTCGTTCTCGCGTCCGCATAGCCCGGCGGTACCTCCAAAACCATCTTCATCAATTAATACAACTTTTTCTGCTTACACCAACCCAATAATACCAGCTGCAACATCCTCGCCACCTCAACCATCTTCGAGAACGCACTCACCTCTTCAGCTTCCTCCGCCACCCAAGGCGCCTTCTGCACTTTCGATACCACCACTCCTGCCACCCCCTATCTCACCGCCGCAGACACCACGGCCCAGCGTGCATCCCATACCGGGAGCTACTCTCACATCATTCCCAAACACCGGCTGGGCAGCAGCCGCATTTCAGGATGATGACGATGACGATGACTCATTCTCCGCTTTCTCAAACCTCCCACGCGCAGTTCCCTTCCCAGCACCGCGCGAGTCCATAGACTCATCTCTCAATTCACCATCCTCTGCACAAGCACTGAACTCCAGCAAATCATCAAATTCGATGTCTTTCGACGACTTTGACGACTTTGTGACTTCATCGCAGATCCGTACGCCCTCCCCGCCGCCCGTCCCAGCCAAGCCCTCAAAGATGATTGGAGGAGCGGTAGCGGCAATGCCAAGCTCGCGGCCTGGCACGTCTATACACATACGCACGCAGAGTCTTCTCGAACATGCTGCCACACAGCGCGGGCAGTGGCCATCCCCACTGAATGCGCATTCCAGCCACCCCGTACTGCCACCACCATCTGCTTCTCCGTCATTTGGTCGGGATATGGATCTGTTGAGCGATGGTGGCGCAGTGCTGTCGGCGCCGAAGTTTGGGACACCGCCACCGAAGGTGCAGTCTACAATGGTACCTCAGTTGTCGCCGTCCCCGCCGCTTGCGCCGTTGCCCCAGCCGCTATTGTCATTTGCATCGTTGTCACCGTCATCGTCGCGAGCCGAGAGGCCGCCTGCGAAGCCGGTTCAGACGGGTGGGCTGACTGCACAAGATTTGTCTTTCTTTGAAGGGTTGTGAGCAGTGAGATTGAAGTATTGGTTTATCACGGCGCAGATATGTAATGATTAATGAAATTTGGAAAATTTTGTTGAGATAGTTAGTTCCTCCATTGTCAGCAGGCCTATTACATCAGTAAGACACGGCCGAGTTCTCCATAGGGAGGTAAGAAAATGGAACACAACATACAGTGGATGAAGGTACAAAATGAAAACATACAAATAACAAATATATCGCAGGAGTAAACAGAACCATAAGCAATCAGAATGAGTGGTCAGGTATGGAATAAAAGATAATTCCATCATCTTGATCGTAACTCACTTCCAGGAGTTCCACGCAGACCCACCCCGCGCATCGTCAACGCTATCGCGGCTCTTGTTCTTCTGACGATGTCCTGTGGAAGAAAAACACGACCGCGAGTCAGCGTTGGTGGACGCACGCAAACCGGATACGCACCAGGCGAATTCGGATCCGCATACTGCGATGCGTAAGGCGCCTGTGGCTGCATTGAGTGAGTATCATATGTGAGGTTAGGATCTTGGGGTTGCCTTACGTAGTTCCGGGACCTGGAATGAGCGTTCCGTAATGAGCGCGTAGATCCTGCAGCTGGCGGTGGGACATGAGCTTCATATGGTGGAGGGCCTTGACTTGGCGGCGGTGCAGCGATGGCACGATTGTTATGATGAGATGGGAGAGGGGGAGAGTTCGAGGGTTGCTCGGTTCCATTGATCAGGCGGCGCTCAGTACCATCCGGGAATGAGTAGGTGACATGCTCGTTGCCCTAATGAATAACGAATGATTGTTAAGATAGAGAAAAATAAATAAACATCACTGACATGTGAATCTCTACGAACAGCTTTGGTGTGAGTAACGCCGTTCACAGTAGAGGTTGTGTAGCTCTCAGAAACCCATCTAGAGCCATTCGAGCCACCAGCGTGTGCCCCACGGGAAGAAGAGCTGTATACATTTACGTTTCCCCCGGTGAGGAATCCAAATGGTGAACTCGTGATGGGAGACATGGACATTGGAGACATGAACCCTCGACCAAAACCATCATCCCAATGGCTGAATGGATTACCGAATGGATCCCTTGAAAATGCTTGGTGGAGATCTCCAAACATCCGATTGAAGAGTATGAAAGGGTCTGTGAAGTCCTGAAAGTGAGGATGACGTGAAGATGGGAAGAATGGGTCTGCTTGATGATTGCGACCGAAAAATGGATGTTGGGAAAAGGGGTCTTGAAAAAATGGATCTTGGAAGGGTTGTCTAGTAGGACGTTGCCAGTTGCCCTGAGTGTAACTCTCCTGGGCAGTCGGAGGAGGCCATACTCCGTACTGGTCATAGGTCTGAAAGATAATTAAAACAGAATATAAAACAGAACAATTGACACGAACCTTGCGGTTTTCTGGGTCGCTGAGGACTTCATAAGCGTTGTTAACCTAAAATATATGATGAGTTCAATCTGCTTCGAAGAAATGAGCGCCTTGCCTGCGAAAGTTACCTTACGGAACATTTCCTCTGATGCAGATTTCTGCGCTGGAGTAGCGCCTTGAGGCAAGCGGTCAGGATGAGTTTCTAAGGCTTTCTTCCTATAAGCCTTGCGAACTGCAGTAGGGTCGTTAATTGCAAGATTCGGCCTATGATTGTGTGTTTGACTACATACTCTGGTCTGGAGTAGCATCTCTGCTCAAGCCAAGTGTTTCGTAGAGGTTGGTGGCCATACTTGAAGAGTGTCTGGAACGTCAAGAGCAGTACAAATACAATGGTCGTCTGGGTAGACTAGCACGAGAAGTGGAGAAGCTTGACGTTCAACGGCAGAAGGAGCTCAGAGTCTATGACATTCTATTGCCTCCGAAGTCTCCCGGGGCCTCGAGGCATGACAATATTTGCCTTTTCCGGATTTCTGCCAAAGGTAGCCTGCAAACTCACGCGTGAACTTGGATGTACATTTTGAGTCTCAATGATATCCTAGGTGCGGTGATTTTTGCTGGTTCTGTAAGAATATCTACTATGTCATTGAACTCTGACTCTGACTCGGATATCTACAAGATCAAGTTCCTGAAGCGAGCGCAGCTCATATGATAATATTCAACAGTATGACCTTGCATGACGTTCATTTGGGAGCCCTCCGAGTCTACTCCAAGTACTTAGGTCCAGTTTGGACAATGACTCCGGGTTCAAAATTTCTGGCTCAAACCGCACGTGATGACCTGACTGCGTTAATAAGCATCTATTATCTAATAAAACAAAAGATACTCTAGTATCATCACAATGTCTGATAAATCAAGCGGCGGCTCTTCGCATTCCTTACGTTCCCGGGGTACTATAGATGTGACATCAGCTGCTGCATCTTGCGGAACGACCAGGAAGGCTCCTGCGGTGTGGACGAAGGCAGAAGAAACCACCTTTCTTGAGTTCCTTCTGCAGGCCCTTCCTGCATCAGGCGATGGGGGCTTCAAGGCGCCCACCTTCAATCAAGCATATGCGCACCTCAAGATAAAACACCCGCATCAAAGGGGCGCAGAAAAGGTTGGCACAGTTTGCAAAAATAAGTGGACATCGGTATGTTTCCAGTGAACTTTCAGCCGCCAGCAAATCAATGACATATATTTTTATAGTTAAAGAAAGCATACCAAAGTGTTGTTGAAATGAAGTGTACTTCTGGTTTTACTTGGAGTGATGATCATGGAGCGGGTATCACGGACAAAAAGGACGACATATGGGCACGCTTTATAAAGGTACGTCATCGCAAATAGACTGCATGCATACCCCTCTACTGATATTGTTTTCAGTCGCATCCTCACGCGAGGCCCTTCATGATGAAGGGCTTCGACCACTTCGATATCATGCAGCAGTTGATGCCAAGCAAGTCGAAAGGCTCTCACGTCTTCCGACCTACCACCGCCACCAATGCCACCACACCATCCTCCATCCCCACAGCCACAGACAACACACTTCCAGGGCCGCCACCATCCTCAGTGGGCCTGCCACCATCCTCAGTGGACCCGCCACCATCCTCAGTGTACCCGCCACCATCCTCAGTGTACCCGCCACCATCCTCAGTGGACCCTCCATCTACCTTTCTCGCTCCTTCCACGGAAGGGTCTACCTCTGCCGGTGGCTCGGCATGGACAAGTATAAGCCGGGGAAAGCGAAAACGCAGCGCGCTTTTGCCTGCGTCAGCTGCAGGCTCTCAGAAACGAGGCCAGCCACCATCTGCCACGCTATTGGCACAGCAGGAGGGCACCGAAACGATGAAAAGCCTCGTAGAAGTAGTACGTGAGATGCAGAAGACTCTTGTATTAGTGCCGGCGCTGCCGCCAGTGCAGCCACAGCCTCAGCCTTCCATGCATGTTGGAAGCGCCATTTCCCTCCTCAATAAATATACAGACCTCACGAGCAAAGAGCGCTTGGGCATTGCCAACTTTCTAGCTGAACACGAGAACCAGGCGATCATTTTCTACTCGTTGGATGAGGTGACGAGGCTTGAGTGGTTGGAAGAGAAGCGAGTCCTTTGCGGTGGTGCACCACGGCGATCAATTGACTCACAAGAATATATGATTGTATCGTAGCGGCGTACAGATCATTTCGTAGTACAAAATTCATGTATTACCTACAACTATGGCAATGGGAGTCCCCTTCGTGCATGTTCTGCGAGATAGTCAGTCCACATTGCTTGCGCGATTCCGTCCCTATGAGCATCTGCGCGTCTGCGCTCAGCAGCATCCGCCGGTCCCTCTGAATGTGCGCCAGATCCAACACCATCATCCTCTGCTAGATCGTGCCCGTACTCGAGGGCAAGATCAAATATATCACCGTTGTTTCTTCGCATGAAGTTGTGAATGGCGCAAAGTGCCGCTGGGATCCGGGACTGGATGTCCATGGAGTATTCAGGCGCGCATATTAAGATGCGCCATTGTCGTTTCATGACGCCGAATATCCGCTCGATGATGTTGCGAAGTGCAGCATGTCGCAAGTTGAACAACTCTTTCAGGTCTTTAGGCCTAGAAAAAAATTAATAGACAGACTGACAAAAGAAAAAAGGAACTCACGCGAGATTAGCTTGATGCCATTCCTTCAGGTGGTAGCGGACACCTCGATAAGGCACGAGAAGTGCGTCGCACGTACCAAAGCCAGCATCGGCTAGAAGATACTTGTCTTTGGGCACACGCAAATCATGAGAGCATGCGTCGTTCCAAAGGGAAGCATCGGCAACTGAGCCGTCCCACCCTGTGAGTGAGTAAATGAAAAAGAAGTCGAGGTCACAGATAAACAAGCAGTTCTGCGATAAAAAGCCTTTCCTGTTGCGCAGGACAACATGGTCTTCAAGCGGCGCAAAAACGCGGATGTGGGTGCCGTCAACAGCACCAATACAGTGGTCGAAGAATCGGAATCGAGGGTCAGCGTGAATTGCCACAGAAAGTGGGGTGTTTTGGTCCAGGAAGCGGACGTTCAAGGTGTAGAAGGGAGCCGATGAAAAGAACATGAGTAGGCGTTTAAAATATCTGCAGAAATCAGCACAACTTGAACAATAGTTATATCAAAAGTTAGGCACTTACCTTGTAATCGTATCGGGAGAGCGCTGGAACCTTTCTCCGACGTGGCGAGACGAAAGTCCAGTAACACACGTGTAGAGAAAAATGCCGAGTTGCTCTGACACGCTTACCCCATTCCGGGACTGGACAAAGCCGTGTCGGTTAAGAACCGCTAACAGCTCATCAAAAATTTGAAGGTCGACGCTGAAATTGTGTCTGATCCTGTCTGGATGACCACTGATCAGTTCATATACCCATGCTTGCCCAGTAAGTATGGATGTGTGGTAAGGAATTCTTTCAGCGCGGGATAAGAATAAAAGATGGTATAGATGTGTGACCTGGGCGACCACAATGGTGATGATAATGACCACGATTTTGTGTCGTCGATCGTGTTGCATTTGCGCTTCAATATCCATGGCAGTGATGGATATGACACGCATATATATGCCGATTATCTATCTATATACTTACACGCCATCTGGACCTATCACGTGCAATCATCACGTGCAGTTTGAATCAGAAATTTCGAACCCGGAGTCGTTGTCCAAACTGGACCTTACTCAGATCTCTAAGCTTAGTAAGTTACAGCCTGAACATCACCAAAATTACCGAATCCAGAGATCACATGATATATACAGTGTACGACCGATTACCGTCTGAGGCAGGTGACGCCGTCGGTGACACCTGTGACACGTGGCTAAGAAAGGAAGCGTCACCCATCCAGTACACATTCACCCCCAGGGAAAACTGGACATGGCCAAATCGGTTGAGATCAAGCAGAATATTGTTTAGACATATAATTTATGCTATAATATTGTGTAATCTTCAATGACACGATCGTCTATGCATCGTATCGTAAAAACATTACATCATTATCGATTTGATGCGCACACTGCGGCCATTGCATTGTTGATCACACTAAAGTTTGTCGAGCGCTCGCACGACACTCGCACGTGCACCGCACGCTGTAGAGACTCATGCCTCTCATGGCGTGACATGGCAGTTTCCACCAAGGAGTGCATAGCACGAACTTGTAGTGTCACTCTGTGCGCTACCCGCAGCTATCCCTATACGAGGCACAACTTTCCCGCGCAACGCGCGCTATGCGCGCACCATTCCCGCGCTTCGCGATGTATATGCGCGCGCGCGCGTTCCCGCGCTTGCGCGCCCTATAGCGCCAGCCATCCAGAAGCATTCATCCACTGTCCACCAAACCCTCTAGTGCGTATATGTCCATTTCTTTTATTAGCATATCATTCCACCTCTATTTTTATAATGGACCCTTACTTATATATATCTTTACATACCTACTCGGTAGCGCTTCGGCTCTGCATGACCGCGCTTAGGCGCGCTATATAAGCGCCGACACACAACTTTTCAACTTACTTTTCACCTTAACTTACTTTTCCGACCAGTCACTTACTACTTAGCAGAGTATAGTAGAAATCTATTTGTCCACACTTTGCATCTCTCTTCTCCTACCTTGCATCATATTATCACTTAAGCTTAGTCTTTATCAATTTCCGTATACCCGCGCGCGCTTTCCTGCGCTTCGCGCTTATACGCGCGCACCTGCGCTTTCTCGTGCTTCACTGAGGCGCATACCTCTAGAACTTTGCTGTACTCGCTTCCCCTTTAGGGTCGAACGCACTTGTCTCCTCAAGTAACGCAGACTAGGCAACGCGCGACCTTTCAACATTTATAGATACTGTCAGGAGCATCATTTGTTCCTAGCAGTATTGTTGTTTCTACAACGCACTTCTGCTATGCAATTCATCAACTACTTCACATCATGCTGCATCACATACATCGCACAATGGCTAGTACATACTCTTTTGTTTGCGCAGAGTTTGTGACATCATTCACCCCAAAGTTATAATTCGTTGGGGCAACCCTCTTTTTCCCACTTCTCCTCATAACATCATCTTCCTGCCAAGTCACCATCCTCCTACTGTCGCCAACTTCCTCAGCGGATTGTGTGAATCTTCGATTCAAGTATGTTATCACCATATGTATCATAACAAAGGTCATATGCTCAGTAAGTGGAACTCCTCTTTATGTTGTCCAGTCTAATGACTCCGAGACTCAGGCTGTTCCAAGTTCAAACTTGAAGCTGGCGCCTGTACCAAAACCACTACCATCCTCGATACCATACCCTTTCATTCTACTGACACTTCTGTCCACAGTCTTATGATAGGGAGGCTGGAGAACTTGTAAGTACAGCCTTGCTACTCATATTATCAAGTCGCTGAGACTTCTTAGGAAAAGCAGGGCGCTGGACGAAGAACAGCAAAGTCATTGATGGTCCCATGTATTAACTTGCCCAGCCCAAGCAAATATCCCCGCTGTTGCCTGCTCGCTTGTCTAACTCCTCTCCTGTCTACATCATTCCTGTCATCGCCTGCTGGTCGCTTTCAAATTACCTGTGCTTGCCTGTCTCACTCCACATCACTCCTGTTCCATTTTGCTATTGCCTGCCGGTTTCCTCCTGATTGTCTCCCTCGCCTGTCCACATCGCTCCTGTTCTTTTGCTGCCGTAGAGGTTGCCTGCTTCACACTGTTGTGCTAGTTCTATCACTATCATCCTATATCGTGTTTTCTGGTCACAGGTCGAAGCATTTGTATCAGTAGATTATACCATATTTCACCCGAATACAACCTATTTTGTCGTACCAGTGGAACTTGATTGAAATATGCTGAAATATGATATCAATATTCTTAACATATCCTACAACATTCGAGAAGATTGCAACAGATGTGAAATATTCTATTTGTCTCCACAGCGAGTCTCCTATAGTGAAATATGGTGCTTCTAAATTCGTCATATTCCGCTTGATCTCAACCGTTTTGGCCATGTCCAGTTTTCCCTGGGGTTCACCTACCACTTTCAGACGTGCTCTCAGCTGCTGTTCAGTCGCTTGTTTTGGTAAGTCCGTTTCTCTCTCACCGTTGTCGTCGTCATCGTCATCATCCTTATCGTCCCTCAACAACAGCAGGACATGCCGGCACCAGTGAGCCCCGCCGAACGAGCCTTCCCTGTCACCTGCCATTCAACAAACAAAACGACGCAGGACTGCGATGGCCTGACGTCCTTCAAAAACCCATCTGTTCTTCGTGCTACCTCTGTTCTTAGTCACTCCGCTGGTACTCTATCCCCCGCCAATAATTCGTAATTTTTATCATACATACGTGACTCTAATCTCCATCTCCTGTGTGTCAGACTCAAGCCCACACTGTCAGATCCCCACCGTGCTCAATATCGCGCATCTGCATGTGGGACTTGGGACTTGGGAAGTACAAAAACGCGACTTGCTCAGCGTGCAAGTACCCACCTGTGCTCAACCTCCTGGTAAGTCTTCCTCCTCTTTTCCTGCAGCTGATGTTGATGTTCGATGTTGGCATTGTTCTCTTTGTTTCGTTTCAGGTACCTTAGCCATGAGTTCTGACGCGAGTCACGCGACTGCGAAGATATGTCAAGATCACCCATCCAACCTCTCCGATGAACACCCTCTGAAGCGCCCATGTGTTCAACTGCGAGTTGGCCCAGACCCACATCGCACTCCTGCCCTCTCTTCGAGTGAGCACCTTGCTTCCAGGGCAAGACAGGAGTGCTGCGGTATTGGCACCTCTTTCTCTGCATCCGCTGCACCAGGTGTGTGTCTCTCTTGCGATGCTCGCATGTTTGCTGGCAGTTGCTGACCCTTCACTGCTGAATGCTAGGACTACTACTATGTGCCGAGCCTGTCGCATCATGCCCCACTGCTGCTCCTGCTCACCTTCCCATCCCTGATGGACTTATCGCCATGGACCCTGGTGAGATCTGCGTCAAGGACCCGTTGTAGAAACAACAATACAGAGAGGAACAATGATGCTCCTAACTGTATCTAAAAATGTTGTAGGTCAAGTGTTGCCTAGTCTGCTATTCTTGAGACGACAAGTGCGTTCGACCCTAGGGGAAGCGAGTGCAGCAAAGATCTACAGGTACGCGCTGAAGCGAAGCACGAGAAAGCGCAGGTGCGCGCAAGGCGCGGGAACACGCGCGCATATTAGCGCGAGGCGCGGGAAAGCGCGCGCGTGTATGCGGAAATTGATAAAGACTAAGCTTAAGTGATAATATGATGCAAGGTAGGAGAAGAGAGATGCAAAGTGTAGACAAATAGATTTCTACTATACTCTGCTAAGTAGTAAGTGAGTAGTAAGTAGTCAGTTGCAGGAAAAGTAAGTTGTAAAAATGGAAAGTTGAAAAGTAAGTGGAAAAACTCCCCCTCGTAGTATGTACTGCTGGCGCTTATATAGCGCGCCTAAGCGCGGTCATGCGGAGCCAAAGCGCTACCGAGTAGGTATGTAAGATATATATGGGTGAGAGTCCATGATAAAAATAAAGATGGAACAATATGCAGATGAGAGAAATAGAAATATACGCACTAGAGAATATGGTGGACGGTGGATGCATGCATCTGGATGGCTGGCGCTATAGGGCGCTCAAGCATGGGAACGCGCGCGCGCATATACATCGCGAAGCGCGGTGTAGGGATTCATTTCTGGCTGGGCTTGTAGAGACTGTTTTTACCTTACCTTATGTTGGCACTTTTGTAGCTTACATAAGCAATCAATCTTTTCACCAGTTACCAGTATGAGTCTGAGTGCTCAGTAGTTTTCTATGATATTTCCTCTCCTCTGAGCCTTGAGTCTGGTCCAGAAACCCTTTAGGGTCGAATAGCAGCTAGGTTCTGCAAGACCCAACACATTGTTCAGACTCACCATCTGAATTGTTGTACCTTCAGCGGGAATGGTGCGCGCATGGCACACATTGCACGGGAAAGTTGCGCCTCATATAGGGATAGCTGCGGGTAGCGCACGGAGTGACACTACAAGTTCGTGCTATGTACTCCTTGGTGGGAACTGCCATATCATGCCATGAGAGGCATGATTCTCTACACCGTCACCAGCTCCCTGTGCAGCCACACTTTTCGAGCCTGCTGCTGCCATCTCCAATGGCATGCAGTGCTCCCTCGATGCACTGGATGCGACCTCCCACAAAATTCGTCTCCGCCTCATGGCGGAGGAGTGCGCCGACAAGGGTACAAACGATGCATACGCATGCCACATCCACAATTATGTTGCCTACTGGGACCAATACCAGGCCGAGATGGTTGCCAACAACCCAACATGGACCTCTGTGCCTGCGCTGCCAATCTCGACAGCTAAGGTGCTTATATTTCTCAACCATGAGCGAACCTGAGAGAAGGTGTGTTCCTGAGCCTGATGGCTCGTTAATATGCTGATGGCTCCTTTTTTTTCCATCCAGTGGAAACTGGGGTCAAGTGACACCATCCCTGGATCGAATGTCGGCAAGTCTGTCATCCAGCAGGCCATTAGTGCCCTTGAGGACTGGCGGATGAGCCACCACCACCTCTACCTTGGAGTGCCTGAGGCTCAAGTTCGGCTGCGTGATGACAACCGCATCCAGAAAATCGAGTCTGCTGCAAAACACAATGAGCTGAAGCGTGCAGAGAGCTCTCAGGTGCTCAAAGCCTCTGGGACCACATCAGGTCAGTGTTTCCTTTGCTTGTGTCTGTTTGATGACTGATTGAATGTCTCTGCTCTTTTCCTAGATGCATATACTACCGAAGAGCTCACAAAGTGCTCAGGATGGTGTCTGAGCAAATTCTCAGGCACTTGTCAGGTGTTTGTTGGTCTCTGTGACTGCACCATGCTGCTATTTGGTGCCTCGACAGCATTGTGAGGCAAGGGCACCAGAATGTTGCAGCTGTCTGATCTTTTTCTCTCCGAAGTTTGCATAGATGACATTCAGTTGGGGTACACTGTCCTGGTGAGCTTCATGCAGTCTCGTGGTCAGTATTAGAATACCAGGGCTGATGCTGCTGTATGGTGTATGTAGGTGCTTGTGGCACTGGCTGACAATGCGAAGAGCAATCAACATGGCTGTCTTGATGAGCATGGCACCTTGTGACACTCTCATATGGAACTCTGCCCTGTTGGAGCCCTTGCCATGTTGTTTTTTGCATGTTTTCACATAGTCTCGTAGCCTGTCCCTGCATTTGCTCCTGAGTTCTCAAAGGCAGGATATGGTGAATTTGGCCACCAGTCATGGTACAACTTGTATGTCTTCTGGGGTGAAAGACCTGACAAGCAGATGTCATACAACAGTGGGTGTTTTTTTTTTCCTGTCTACACTCTTCTAGGTATGAAAATCGGATCACTGAACCTCCCCCCCCCCCTTCAGATCACTATGACCATGTCAAGCTCATACACAGCAAGAACGATATCAGCCTGACGAAGGCCACACATGCCACTCGACACTTCACAGCAAAGACTGCATGTTCGCACAGGGCATCTGGCAATGATGTGAAAGCCATTGGTTGCTGGAGTGTCAATGATGCCTTTGCCAACTGCTATGACTGTTGTAGAAACAACAATACTGTGAGGAACAAATGATGCTCCTGACTGTATCTAAAAAAATGTTGTAAGGTCGTGCGTTGCCTAGTCTGCGTTACTTGAGGAGACAAGTGCGTTCAACCCTAAAGGGGAAGCGAGTGCAGCCAAGATCTAGAGGTATGCACTGAAGTGAGGCACGGGAACATGCGCGCGTATTGGCGCGAAGCATGGGAAAGTGCGCGCATGTATGCGGAAATGAGAGAGTGTAAGAATAAGTTTGCTTAAGTGATGATATGATGCAAGATAAGAGAAGAGAGATGCAAGATGTAAAGGAATAGATTTCTACTGTAACTTTCTAGGTAGTAAGTAGTAGGTAAAGTTGGGTAAAGTAAGGTAAAAGTAGTACATGAGTAGTATGTACTGCTGGCGCTTATATAGCGCACCTAAGCGCTGTAATGCGGAGCCGAAGCGCTACCGAGTAGGTATGTAGAGATATATATAAGTAAGGGTCCATGATAAAAATAAAGTGGAACAATATACAAATGAGAGAAACGGAAATATACGCACTAGAGAACTTGGAGGACAGTGGATGGATGCATCTGGATGGCTGGTGCTATAGGGCACTCGAGCATGGGAAAGCGCGCGCGCATATACATCGTGAAGCGTGGGAATGGTGCGCGTTGCGCGGGAAAGCTGCGCCTCATATAGGGATAGCTATGGGTAGCGCACAGAGTGATGCTACAAGTTCATGGAGTCTCTACACCGTGCCCTCCCACTCGAAGGGCTGCTCGGTGCAGCCATGTTCAATGCAAGGAAGCCTGAGCAATACATCCTAGCTCAGGACCATCTTGGTAAGCCAATGTCCACTGTCTGATAGCTTGTCCTCTCACCTATTATCTGATTTGAATCAGAGCCTCCATCAGAGCTCCTCTTGCAGATTTTTCCATGGATCGAGCAGGAGAATGCTGCCCTGCAGCAGTGGGAGGCAACACTTGGCCGTGCAGGATGTGATATTGCCCTGAAGGGCTTCCTGTGACTCCTCACATGGCTGTGCTGGGTCCTTATACAGGATGCTGCTGTCCTGTTTGTGAAAGACCCAACATGCCCAATATTCATGTTTGCACCCTTCCGAAGTGATGTGTTCCGTGAGTTTGCAGCAAACTCGACAGCTGTGCTTGCCAGGGTTGACCACGAGGCTCGGTTGGCACTGCAACATCTCCCAGAGCAGTATGCCTGAAGCATGCAAGGATTTGTCACATCGTCACGCCTTCCACAGGAAGAAGCCAATTGGATGAATGCAGAACAGCTTGTGCTGCTTCATGAACAGGTTTCACAGCTGGAGATGGTAACTGAGTCTTGTCAATCACAATGCCGTCATCATCATGGTGAGTACAGTCAGCAGTTTTTCATTGTACATGAAGCAAAAAACTGATGATCAAAAGGTGCTCCACCTGCCACTGCAGTAGTAGTACCCCCAGTGCCAGCACTCAGCCCTGCAGTTCCTCCCCTCAAATCAACCTCCATGGCAGCATCAAGTGCAGTGTAGAGACTCATGCCTCTCATGGCGTGATATGGCAGTTTCCACCAAGGAACGCATAGCACGAACTTGTAGCATCACTCTGTGCGCTACCCGCAGCTATCCCTATACAAGGTGCAGCTTTCCCGCGCACCATTCCCACGCTTCATGATGTATATGCACGCACGCGTTCCCACGCTTGAGCGCCCTATAGCACCAGCCATCCAGATGCATCCATCCACTGTCCTCCAAGTTCTCTAGTGCGTATATTTCCGTTTCTCTCATTGTATATTATTCCACCTTATTTTTATCATGGACCCTTACTTATATATATCTCTACATACCTACTCAGTAGCGCTTCGGCTCCGCATTACAGTGCTTAGGTGCGCTATATAAGTGCCAGCAGTACATACTACTCCTCACCTTTTTACCTTACCTCACTTTACTTGACTTTTATTTGACTTAACTTTGCACCCACTTACTACTTAGTAGAACATAGTAGAAATCCATTTTGTCTACACTTCACATCTCTCTTCACTTATCTTGCATCATATTACCACTCAAGTCTAATCTCTCTATTGTTTCCGCATACGTGTGCGCGCTAATATGCGCGTGTGTTCCTGTGCCTTGCGCGCACCTGCGCGCTTTCTTGCGCCTCGCTTCAGCACGTACCTCTAGATCTTCGCTGCACTTGCTTCCCCTTTAGGGTCGAACGCACTTGTCTCCTCAAGTAACGCAGACTAGGTAATGCACGACCTTACAAACATTTATAGATACAGTCAGGAGCATCATTTGTTCCTCACAGTATTGTTGTTTCTACAGTGGGCCTGCAGACTGGTCTGTTTTCACCCTTCGTGCCCCCCCCCCCCCCCCCCCCCACCAACTTCTGTGGCTACCAGTGCTGCTACTACCATTACTACTGCAGACCTCGATGCTCGTCAGCAGCAGTGGACCTCACTGGTGGACTGATTCAGTGTTGAGCAGCTGCTGAAGCACAGCTGGGAGTGGGTATCAGGGGATTATCTTCCCCTGTACACCTTCCAGCCTGTCAACCACATCACAGAAGTTTGGGATGAGCATGCAGCTGGGTTGAATGGATTCCTTGCAGTCCATGACCTCGATGGTGCTGGCAGGCACACTGGAGATGGAACATCAACATTCTGCGAATGGAGAACTGCCGATGAAAAAAGATCACAGCCCTGGTTGAGACACTTGCACAAAAGCCCAACTGGAATATCAATCTGGCACTCTGTTTCCTGTGCAAGAGGTATGAGACTCACCCTGACCTCAAAAAGCCTCGTGTGTTCTGTGAGTACTTGCAAAAGGGGGGTGGGAGTGGCAACAAGGAAGTGCTCACAGCGGCCGCAAATTACCCTTGATTCATACATTCTCGGTGTTTGCTGATGGTCTCTTCCCTATCTTACGATACGAGTCTTGTTCTTCTGTACAGTGCAGAATCTATTTGATTTCAGCAAAAAACACACTATACAAACAAACTATGTACTACAGAGCACAGGACGAGAGGATGCTGGCAACTCCAAGCTCATTTGAGAACACTAGCCAATGCTGGAAACTTTGAGTTCGAGAACATGACCAGGAGCACAAGATGAGAACACTGACCAACACTGGAAACTTTGAGTTCGAGAATACGACAGAGCACAAGACGAGCACGCTGGCAACTTCAAGTTCGAGAATGGTGGCCAATGCTGGAAACTCTGAGTTCAAGAACACAACCAGAGCAGAAGACAGGAACACTGACCAATGCTGGAAACTGAGTTCGAGAACACTACAGGGCACAAGACTAGTGCACCAGCAACTCTGAGTTCAAGAACACAGGGAGGAGAGTCATTTGTGGTCGTCTTCCAAAACGGAGGGAGGACAGTCTGAGCAACTCTTGAGTTTCGAGGGAAGGGGAGAAGAAGCACAAGAAGTTAGAATGGAATTAGACACTGGGGATACCGAGGACTCATACCTTCACTGGTCCTATGGTGCACGTCACTTAGTCACCACTACTTTTGTGCAACATTTTTAGCACCTCAAAATTTCACCCAATTTTTTATCCCTCTGGCAAAAATGCTTGTTTTTGCCTAAAGAACAAAACCTCCAGATGAATTTTGATAATACTCAAATTTGAGGGAGTTTTTTTTCCTTCCAAGGTCAATTTGGCGCATCCCTACAAAATGTGGCTATACATGATCAAAGACCCTTGCTACTGTTCCAGGAACTCGTCTGTGTGATTTATAGCATGTAGAGCTGAATTGTTTGACCTGTAACTGAGCATCTCAGGTGATAAGTCCTGACCTGTACACCTCCATCCACTGAAAAATTCGATGCAACTGAAGTTTTTTTGGCTTGTCTGGCCATTATGGATGGTCCCTGTAACGAGGAATAGCTGATATATTATTTACATTCATGATCACTAGGTACTCCATGCAATGCATAGCTGTAACTTGACTGCAGCTACACTAATATCAAAGCTGCTCCTCCCACTCCAGCCTAATTTGGACTAGGGGTTAGGGTTGCGATTTTTTGGCCTCAATTTGGCACCTGCACAAAAGTAGTGGCAACTAAGTGACATGCACCATAGGGGAGTCGTTTGTGGTCGTCTGTGAAATGGACATCAGCAAAACCCTCCTGGGCTAAATTTTGTGTAATCTTGAAAGTTCATATAATTACTTGTGTTTAGAAACAAAGTTGATAACAATGGAGCAGCAATATGAAATTGTTTCACAACAGAAGAGAATTAGTAAGGATTATCTGAATATTGAAAAAGTATGTCTATCAATGTATGAGTTGACCCAAAACGTGTTACAGTCCTCAAGAACAGTCTCACTCATCCATTCTCGCGGAGCTGAGTCTCCAAACTTCGGTATAAGGTGGATACTGCACATGATATCACCCACTGGCACAATACTAACCACTCTGTCACTACCTCACATCAGTCTTGACAGTTTATAAAGTCCATTGTTTCGGTCTGGAGCAGATGGGAAGGGAGTGAACCATTCGATATATGTGAGGTGAGGAGAATGTTGACAGTGGGTGGAAAGAGCAATTGTAAAGACTTTGGGGGCAAGGAGAATATAACTTGAACTTGACCCACACTGAAACCTAATGAGTCAGTGAGCAGTGAGTCCTTGAGTAACAATCAGATGGCCGGCACCAAATCATGCACCTTTGAGATCATTTGTAACCAAGTCTTTGCCAAGGCTTACGACGTTGAAATTTTATTGAAGTTCGTCATTTGCACATATTTGTTTCGTTCATGTGACTGTTTGGTTGATATTGAAATTGAACCATTTACGTGTATTTGTTTGACTCACATGACTTGAGTTTGAAAACCTTTGAACTTTTGAACTTCCGATGTCGATCCCTCATTATGATTCCTCAATGTTGTCAGCCTCAACCATCAAGCTAATAGGTATGTCTTAGATATATAAAAAAGTTATGTTTAACAGTTCATAGTCGTCCTTTCGTGCTTGTTATTGCCCACTGTTCGCAGACCGAGTGTGTCGATTCTGCTTCGAGGTCGAGCCATGCTGATCAAAGTTGTCAGGGCCTGTCATTCGTGCTCACCGTTCGCAATTCATGAGTCTGTCTATCCTTGTTCGAGCAACAGCCACGCTAATCCAAGGCATTGCCCCCCGTTTGCAGGATGTAAGTCTGTTGATCCTCATTCAAGCAACAGGCATGCTGATCCAAGTCGTTGCCCGCCATTCACAGGATGTAAGTTCATTGATCCTACATGGACCTTCTCCTTTGAGCAAACCTCCAACATCTCCTCCACCTACTCTTACAGCAGAATGACACTACTGGAGTATATGATGCCCAGTAACTGTGTGTGGGGATATTCATGGTCAATTTGTGCATCCCTGTTTATTCTTGTAACCTGCTCTGTCAAAACAGTGACTTTGCTTGTGGCACTCAGGTTATGGAATCACGACTGCATTACAATTCTACAGGGAAACTGTGAGTCTCAGCAAATCACACAGGTGTACAGCTTATATGATGAGCGCTTGCAGAAATATCAAAACACTAATGGGTGGCGGTTCTTCACCGATTTGCCTTTGAACTGCTGGACCTCGATGGGATGAAGGAGGACTCAGATTAGTAGCGGCTATACTCCTTTCGTTTTGTGTACCTATTTGATTTGTCGAGAGTGCTGATTGATACAAGTGTCCATGTCGGTCATTACTAGTTACTAGCTGTGTTGCTACTTTACATACCATTTTCTAATAAAAAGACTAATTCATTCGTGTAATGTTGTCTGATGGTGTTTAGATTTGTGAGTGATGCTCTTCTAAGTTTGAATGGATGGTCTCTCAAATGCAGGACAAATTTGTCAAATAACTAATGATTGTAACTTCTGTCAAAATTATTTGGGGTAACATAATCCATGTGATCCTTCTAATCAGACATTTTTTGAGAAATTAGTGAATAATTTTTGATAATCATGTATATTTAGCCCAGGAGGGTTTTGCTGATGGAGGGAGGACGGTCTGAACAACTGGTTGAGTTTTGAGGGAGGGAAGGGAAGAAGAAGCACAAGTTAGAATGGAATTAGCCACTGAGAGTACTGAGGACTCGTACCTTCACTGGTCCTACTGCCCTTCTTAATGAATGTAAGTAGTAGCATGAATCTACCTCTACCGGCTAGAAGGACAAAGTCGAATTGAGAACATGGACAAGGGAAGGAAGGAGTACTAGAAGAAACATGAACTTGAGAAGTAGCTGTAGCCTGTCATGGTATCGGTCGGCGTGTATTCGGCAGGCAATGGCAGGCCTGGTTATCCTCCCTTGTCTATGTACTCCACCAAGACGGTGGTGTCACCCAAGCGTGTACCGGCGGGTGGCTTCGTGACACATGTTTGCCTTTTCGAGCGGAGTCACCCGTCACCTCGGTGGTGCACCAAAACCCTCATACATTGAATTTTCTGATGCCGCCAATTGTATATACCTGTGATATCCAACATTTGAAATATTGTAGCGATACAATGACATCAAACATACCATCTGTCAGACACAAGTCATCTAGTAGAGTAGCTGTCAGCCAGATATCAGACATATCCCGATACATCCAATGTATTATATAGAGTAATACAATGAAAAATGGGTGAAACTGAAGTAAAGTACCTAAAGGGCGCCAGAACCCTCCTCCATAAGTTTTTTATCATTGAATTCCTTGCCGTCGTCCGCCACAATCTCATCCTCGTGGAGAGTTCGCGCTGCAGCAGGGAAAGTGAGGGTACACTACAGCAAAATGTTTTGACTTTTGAATTTTTATATTTGGCTATCTACACTCACATAAGCTCAGGTAACTACATTCCTTGATGGCTCAACGTTGCAACTACCAATGACACAAATGTCCTGCGAATCCAGTCAAATGTTCAAAATTAAAGCAAAGCTCGCAAACTTGTTGGTAACAGGTACACATAGTGCTTGTATTGGTGGTATGAACGGACTGGTACTAACTGAAACTTAGAACTTTCCATAGATGACGGTCACATGACTGTGTTTATCAACACAAACAACACGTCAATAATGCTACACTCGATCTTTCCTTAATCTTTTGATTTTATCTTTCTTTCACCCACCATCATCATGGCATGTCATAAACACTCTAACTCAATTGCCTCATCAGGCTCATCAGTAAGTATCCTCACATAGTTCGAACTCAGTATCATCTGTGGCCCTTGTACCTCCAAAGAGGGCCTCAAATACCAAGCTCAATATTATCATCAAAAAGGTGAGTGTATGCACATATATGTATATATTATGTACTTATCTCATCCATCAGATGGATACAGCATCGTCTACTCGCATGGACTGAAATATCCTTCTAGCATGCTTTTTCTGTCTGATCAGAGATTTTCAGAGGACGCCGCCAAGTGAGTTTTTTTTTCGAAATTCACCTCACATCAATCTAACACTTCGCAGAGCATTCAGTGCAAAGGTTAACTTGACTGCATTCAGACTTCTCGCATGTCTATGGGCTGGAGACCCACCAGGTCAAGACTATGACAATGACCAGATGTGTTTGGTGGCTACTTGTTGGAGTGGGTGAGTGTTTTTTTTGGTATTGTTTTAGGTGTTATTGACCTACTCATAGATCACTTATATTCTTGTTTTAGTGTCCATTCTCGATTACCCACATTCGCATACATAAGCTCAGAACAATACACTCAATTGTACCTTACTGCTTTGTACTACCATTAATTTAATGCATCACATTGTTATATCCAAACACAATTGCAATGTCTGATGAATCTGAGCAAGATTTAAATGCATTATGTACATAGCAATGTTTGATATATCAGTACACTAACCTAATGCCAGACTATAGTCACATGGCAGTCGCAATGTCAGAATTTGAGTTTCCTAGCATTGCCTTACATTGAGACCTTGCGCCAGATACATATGGCAGGTATGGTGGCTCCGACATGGTAATATATGACCATCTCTGGATTCGGTAATTTTGGTGATGAACGTGCTGGAACAAAGGTCAACCATTTTTGGTATCTCATTCCCACCTCTCTGACCATCACCTACTCCCTAATGATAGCAGGAACCATCACTTACAATATTCTTCAAGTCAATTACCAAGTATCGCAGTCCATTAGACTGCAACATCTTGCAATCAGATCCAAGCAGTCTGTACTAGTCGGACACAATCTGCTACCAGTATCTCCTGCCGACTCGGATGTTGTAATCGAGAACGGGTGCTCCCAGTAACATTCCTAGTAGTTCAAAGTTCATTTGATCAAACAGAGTTCAAACCTACTTAAATATGGCTGCCGCAACAAGGCTGATTGGTTGCTGTGATATTATTACTAGGTATGAACCACATGGTGTACATATGCTTGGTTTTTCATCAGCGACACGTTCTGCTAGGTTCAAGTTGCTTGCATGGTAGCCAAATATTTTCTATCAAAACCTGTATTGGGCATCAGACTGATGAGTATATCCAGCAATTCATCATCAAGTAATAGAACAGGAAATTGAGCATAGCAAGAGTCGAGCCGATATAACGTTGCATTCTCATCATGTCAAGTAATTCCTATCGAACTTACCTCATCCAGCACTTCAAGCCTCATTTTATGTTAATGGAACGGGGACTTTGGTTCATGATCAGAGTCAATGACATGTTCTCATGAATGGTATGCCAGTTCTGAGCACATTCTTAATCTCACATAATTTTCAGCCAAACATACCGCTTCCTCTTCCTTCAATCACCATTGAATGGATTCGAAATACTCTGTCGACGCCATTACAGCTGCTAGGAGTCTTTAAGTCTTTACGGTAGATTTTCCTCTAGATAATGCAAACAGCCTCTGATGAAATCAATCACTTCTAGTTCATATACAGTATGTTTCTTCGATGATCAGCAAATTGCGTCTGCTAAGCGGCAGTTCAGCATTGATGGCTACATTTTGGGTATGATCGTCCCCATCTTCTTACTCTTGTATTCATCTTCGATTCCTATCTAGACATATAACTATGCCTGCTTGATGAGTGAGGAGGTGACAGATCATTTGCAAGATCAACTTCCTATCCTCACAATGCACCCTTTCAAAGGAAATTTTTGCTTTATTCCAACTGGAACAGGGTAAAAATGTTGTATGTTGTGATATGATATGTGCCTTTCCTTCTTTTTTCTGTGCACCTGTATTGTAAGTCCTTAATTTCAATGAGTCTAAGATAACATATTGAAAGACTGTTGCAAGTGAACTTTGTCCCAAATGAGACCTCCAACATACATTGGCTCATACTAGATAGTAAGAGCCCTGCTTACCTGAGGGCCAATCTAGATGTGCCAATTTATCAACAATATTTGCTCAAGTGCATCAAATTACATGTCGAAAATACGAGTCTCTGACCTTCCCCCCTACAGCTTTTAGCCTGATATCTAGCATCTGCTCAGAATGTAGTAATTGCTCTATTATCTTTATCATGAGCATAGGGTCTTGATTCCTCCAGGCTTCTTCATCCTCAGGACTTATGCACTGTGGAATAATGATAAGGTTGTTTTGGCAGCTATGCTATCAACTTTTGCAGTGAGTTATGTGCAATGGTGTGGCTTTTTGATATGAATGCAGCATCAGGCCGTAATTGTGGGGTCCATGGTTGCCCTCTTTACTGCCACTGCCACTGCGCCGTGTATGAATTACTCTCTTTCCCTGCCTGGAAATTCTGACCCAGTTTTCATCTCACAGTTGAGACCAGTGCAATTCCAGGCATCACAGGCTGTTACCAGTCCTCAGGAAGTGCCAGGCTTTTTGTCCCCTTCCTTCTTTTGTTTGGATTAGAATTGAGTACGTTGATGAGAATTGATCCATGAACGCCTTTTGACTTATGCTTGATACAGTGCTGATTTCCCTCATGCTCACATGTGCCATACTGAAATTGGCGTACAAATAACAGCAGTTTGTATGTTGTTATATTGAAACACAGTGTGTTATATTATGCATGTGGTCTATGTAAGTAAGAGTGTGGAGTGGTTAATTCTTGCTCATCTTTCCCACAGTTTTCTCAACTGTGAATGTTCTGACATCGCTGCTGCTTGATGTATGTCATCCGTCTACTACAAAATTTACTTGTAACTGAGATCTCATGCAGTATGTGTATAGTGGCATGTTCCAAGAGTACATCTTTGCCGAGGTTTACTGGCAAGCAACACTTATAACTTGAATCCTCAATCATGTGTTTAGTTTCCAATTTATCATTCATGCCATATTCGCCACTCGAATGCACCTCTATCTATGGCATGCCGACTACAATCGTGATTGTAATGCCTCGGATCTAATCTCTCTCTCCCAGTTGGTACTCGCACCCCATATCGAGTCAGCCTAAGTATTAGCATATTTGCTCTCACAGAGTGGTCTGGAAAGAAGGGAAGATTGTGATTGACTGCTACAGTTGGTTTGCCCGGCGAGAACATATCATCACTTGTGATGCTGTAACAGGGAAACTTACGCATGCATCCGAAGTGGCTCCTGGAAGGCCACAAATGATTCTCATTGGATGGCCCATTGGGATCGGTGGAGGTCTTTGAATCAGTGCAAATTTACTGTATAATAAGTACAATACTGTTTATGATGCGCACTCCTTTGTATGAGCATGCAAATATCTATGAGTGGAATTTGTCCTCTCTATGAACGCCCAGAGACAGTGTCATATACACTTGTGTAGGGTGTGGCGTCTCTCTGGCAGACCAGGCGGTGAAGATATTGAGTTTCACGAGGGGCCAAGCGCCCCTCAGCGCTCAGCAGTTGTCAATGTTCCGTATGTTAAGGGCAAATGTGTATGTCATCTTTGTCCTTTCTCAAATATCCAACTCATCTCATATCACGTTGTAGAAACAACAATACTGAGAGGAACAAAAGATGCTCCTGACAGTATCTATAAATGTTGAAAGGTCGCGCATTGCCTAGTCTGTGTTACTTGAGGAGACAAGTGCATTCGACCCTAAAGGGGAAGTGAGTACAGCAAAGATCTAGAGGTATGCGCGGGAACGCGAAGCGCGAGAAAGTGCAGATGCGCGCAAGGCGCGGGAACACACGCGCGTATTAGCGCGAAGCGTGGGAAAGCACGTGCGTGTATGCGGAAACAATAGAGAAGTTAGACTCAAGTGATAATATGATATAAGATAAGAGAAGAGTGATGCAAAGTGTAGACAAATATATTTCTACTATGTTCTGCTAAGTAGTAAGTGGGTGATAACTAGTAATTGGGAGGTAAAGTAAGTCAGTAATAGTATGTACTGCTGGCGCTTATATAGCGCGCCTAAGCGCAGTCATGCGGAGCCGAAGCGCTACCGAGTAGGTATGTAAGGATATATATGGGTGAGAGTCCATGATAAAAATAAAGGTGGAACACTATGCTAATAAAGGAAATGGAAATATATGCACTAGGGAGCTTGGTGGACGGTGGATGGATGCATCTGGATGGCTGGCACTATAGGGCGCGCAAGCGTGGGAACGTGCGCGCGCGCGCGTATACATCGCGAAGCACGGGAATGGTGCGCGCATGGCGCGCGTTGCGTGGGAAAGCTGCGCCTCATATAGGAATTGCTGTGGACAGTACACAGAGTGGTGCTGCGAGTTGGTGCTGTATACTCCCTTAGTGGAAACTGCCATATCACGCCATGAGAGGCATGATTCTCTACAACGTAAAGGGATGCATCAACAAGAGAAAAATAGATGAAAATCATTCCATTGAAACCCAGAAAGCCTGCCGCAAGCACTGTATGTCCTCCCAATAGCAATGCCACAGCACACTCTAATGGTGCAGCTCAAGCAAAATCTTCGCAAGCACAAACTGCGGCTGTCTCTATCTCTGCCTGCACTTCCTGTAAGTTGGACGAGTACTACTATCCCTTCCACTGCAATCAGCACCCCACAGAAGTCAGCAGTCACGCAAATGTCACTGTGAGTCATGATATGTCATGTAGGCCAATTTTAAAGTCAGTTTGGCAGTCAAGCAAGTGGGCAAGGTCAATTAGTATTCGTTCGAATGAGCAAGTATAGTATTGAATAATAGATATACCTAAGTACGAGGGCGACTGTTATTAGTGCCGTAGTTGTAAAATCGAGGTGGATATATAGGGAGACCATGTGCATTGTAATATGACAAAACACAACTCACATTCTGTTCTTTTGCTGCAGTATAACCCATTTGCAATTCTCTGAATTGAAACCTGAATGCGTGGCTCATATGTCGGGTCTGACGAAGCTCGCAGCTTTCCTCGTCTACCGCTGCTAACTTAAACTTGCGAATGCGGACGCGCAGCGCTGCACCAGTCGGCACTTCCAAAGTGGGGGTGCAATTTGAAACTCCGTCATGGCATGTATCGGCAGGTGACATTTCTGCGTGACTTCGGCACTTTCGACTATCTCACTCAATTCTGCTTTAATCGTGGTCGTTCAACCTCGTAATGAGTTGTATTAGAGAGAGAATGATACAGATATCAAGAATTTTGTGTTTAAGTAGCTAGAAATACGAGTTTTGTGAAAGTGCCGACTTCTGTGGGGTGCCGATTGCAGTGGAAGGGATAGTATGACTAACACGTCCAGTTATCATTCCCACGGCTGCTACTGATTGAAACTTTGAATTGACCGTGACGCATCAACATCCCCGAAATTTATGATTCTGCAAGAAGTGGTACTATGTGCCACTGCACCCCAGGCCCTCGGTTCTGGCTCAGGTGCAATCGTTCTCCATGACGTACAGACTGGTACGTCGCTCGCATCCTTCAAGCAATCCAGCTCTGCACCGCACTGCACGTCATTCGTCGAAACGCGGGATGGCCAAGGAGGGTTTATCCTCGCGGCACAACAAGACAAATCCATTCTAAATGTCTACAACTTCCAAAAGGTAGGTCTTATGTTTCTGATATGGCTTTCATCTTTCTCAGTGCATCATAGGACCAACTTGCTTTCAAAATAGTCCTTCCTGAGAGGCTTTCGTGTATTGCGCTGGATAACGCGGGAAGCTTCTGCGCTGGAGGGACGGCCCAAGGTCGAATATATTTGTGGGAGGCGCGTCAGAGAATATAATATGTCAGGTGGACCCCAGCTCAATTTCTGACAGTAGGTCGCGTCAGGCATCTTGTACAACTCTTGGGACGCCCACTATCGTCACGTTAATGTCCTGAAATTCACCCATGACGGTGCTGCCCTTATTTCAGGTAGTGATGACTCTGGTGTTAGTGTTTGGTCTGTAGCAAGGTCCGTTGTGAATTTCTTGTCCTTGTCGTGTCGTTGACAGCAATGTAGACTTGTCGACAATGACACCCAAAATGAACTTCCGACTCCATATTGTACACTATCAGACCACACCCTACCAGTGAAAGATATCATTTGTGGCCTTGGTGCATTCCCTACTTGTCGTGTCCTTACCGCGTCCCTCGATCATAGTGTAAAAGTGAGCTCGTCTTTCTAGCTGCGGTTGCTTTTTATTCACCTCGGATACGAAGATCTGGGATATATCTTCTCAGTCGTTGTTGACTACCTTCCACTTCCCTAAACCCATATCATCAGCAGTTTGGGACATCACCGAACGCTCATTTTTCGCTGCCTCACCGGATGGCTCCATATACCAAGTCAACCTTTTTCGCCAGCGAACTGAAAAACACGCTGGTCAGACGATCGAAGCTGTTGGAGGTGCAGGCGTCAGCGATATCATTCGTGTCGCCGACGAAGACAGCAACAGTCGAAAACGACTCATATCAGTCGAGTATGCCTTTCTCGTACATTCCCTAGCGTGTGACTAGCTGACGCATCTCGAATATAGTCAACCAATAACAGTTCTCACCATCTCCCTCACAAGCTCGCTTCTTCTTGTGGGCACCGCCACGGGGCTCATCCACATCTACGACATTGCCTCCCACCAGCTCCTTCGCACCATCTCGACGCACAAGGGCATGTCAATATCCCATCTCACGACTATGCTCAAGCCGCCTGACCTTGTTGGACACATTAGCTTGTCCCTCAACCTTGGAAGTCCCGCCGATGCAAAAGACATCATTCCTATCCGCCCTGTGGTCCCGTTTCACCGCATGAAAGACTCAAAGGCAAGGGAGGCGCACGAGGTGGCGATGATGCTTCCCGTGCAGGACGAGGTAGGCTTTCTTCTGTTGAAATGGGTACTCTGCTTATGTTGATATTCGCCCCTTAAGACCCCTGGAGGCATACCAAGCGCTTACGACTACCCCGAAGCCGATTTTCAACGAGACCATGCATTTTTCGTACAACCGAACGCGATTGGCACCTCTGAGGCATCGAGTGCGCGCGTTGCTGAGCTTGAAGCTGAGGTAGAGAACTTGAGAGAACAACTTGGGAAGGCAAAGGGGATCAACGATGTGATGTGGGAGACGGTTGTGCAGAAGATCATGACACAGGAAAAACAAAAGGCAGCTGTGGAAGGCCAGAATGCCACTGTACCAGGTGAAGGCGAGGATGAAAATGATGTAGAGAGGCCGAGAAAGAAAGGCAAGAAGACGGAAAGCAAGAAGTAAATGATCTTCCTACACAAATAAAGATTCTAATTTTCTTCAAGTTAACACAGGAAGGATTTCCTGATGAGGTCACGCAGTCTTCCGATGGCCACGGTGATTTTTTGCCGTGGGGTTTCGAAACAGAGCGACACACTGTCTATCAGTCCCTGACTCACCGTGCCAACCGACGTTTATCTATCTACTGTTTTCCCGCGCCCAGTCACCTATCAGCCCCTATAGGTTGATTGTAGTATTTCGGACAGTGTAATGGAGCCATACGCGAAGTTCGACTATAACATGAGGACTCATCTTTTCTGTTCTTTCATCACTCAGCTTCCTTCTTGTTTATTCTCTTCTGCTGGGTCGTGTTGACGCTCTGAATCAACGTCACTTGGCTGGACCCGTGTCTTGCTGGTATCAGAGTATATCTGCTCGATCATGTGTTGAACAAGAATCCTGCATGATGCCCCCAGGCCCCCGTGAGTGGCCTCTCGTTGGGAACATATGAGACATGTCAATCCTCGGCTCACCTTTGCAGGGTGAGTGTCTCCTGTTGTTCCAAGATAGATCCATTCCAACTCTGTGCCTTCCAAATGCTATGCCGTATTCAGCGGACAAAGTACGACCTTCCAGGAGATTCGAGGTAAAAGGAATCAAGACAATGCCACTATCCTGTAAAATGTTCAACTCATGATTGCAACACCACAAATATCTGTTACCATTTGATCCTGGACAAATTTGTATGGTGCATCAATCATCTCGTCGACGCACAAGGTCGATAAACTCACAGTATTTGCCCAGGTATGACCAACCCAGAAGGTGTCGATTAACACACCCCTCTGAGTCGCTTATTTTTGATTAGATCAGTATTCATCTCGACCCGGATATCTACCACGATGTTACTCGCCATTTTTGACATCTCCAAGACCGTTGAGAATGGCGCTGGAATCACCCCGAGCTTAACCCTTCATCAGGTATGTTTTATATCTTATCTCGTCTAGATAAAAACACTTTAAGGACTCTATCAAGCTTCGCTCTGCGAAAGCCATTGCGCTCATTCAACAGGATGCTAATTACTAAGCACCCAAGGATCACATACACGTACGGATTTACCTATGGGTAGCCGTTTTTTTACACCGACACCTAGATCAGTCACACTATTCGTATTTCACATCACAGGGCAAAAACTGTGGCGCCACGTATCGAGATATCCTACATTGTCATTGGAATGACTCACGATACACATTCTCGTATGAAAAGCGTATCAGCGTACTGCCCATTGGTCATGATCGCGCTCCTCTTCCGTTCAAGGCTTTGCGCATGCTGACACCCTCGACTACTTCTCCCTCAGCTCCCATATCAGTTTGTAAGCCCTTTTCCTATAGTTACAGTCTCCATGCCTTGTTATTAACGCTATTGGCTGCAGCCTACGATTACATCGTGCCTTCCCTCGCTAAATTCTCCCTGCAATAACCATAAAAATTCTAGGGCTGTCGCAATATTGCTGTTGGTTTGCAGTCAGCCGGTCACAAATGACCGAACAAAATAATGGCCATTAATCACTGTGCCAAATAACTTTGTCCGCCTTCTTGAACTTTGGATCGTTCCTTGATTTTTTAGCATGGAGATCGGTACTTGTATTCATCTAGTCACATATAGGTTGATCACACGTAGGCAGCCTAGCTGCCTACACATATAATGTCCAGGAAAGGACTCCTCTTACCAATATCTCATCGCTCACTACACGATCTCTCGCTCTGCCTCAGCTAGCATGCTGATATTCACCAATATCACTTGGCTGGACCTATGTCTTGCTAGTGCCGGAGTGTATCTGGTCAAGCAAGCATTCAGCAAGAAGAACCCTGCACCATATCCGCCTGGACCTCCGGGGTGGCCTCTCGTTGGGAACGTCGCAGACATGCCTCACACCAAGGCCTGGCTCACTTTTGCCCAGTGGGGCAAGAAATATGGTGAGTGCTCCATGTTTCCCAACACAATACACTTCAATTCCATGCCGTGCAGGTGACATCTCGCATGTAGAAGTTCTGGGTCGGCACATCATTGTACTGAATTCTGTCAAGGCAGCGATAGAATTGCTAGACAAAAAAAGCGCTGTGTACTCTGACCGTCCGGTTCTTACAATGGGTGGTGAACTTGTTGGCTGGAAGTACTGTATGGGTCTTCTCTCTTATGGTGACCGTTTTCGCTATTACCGCAAGAACATTCACCGCGTCATTGGCAATCGCGCTGCTATGGATATCTACGAACCAATCGAGGAGATCGAGACCCGCCGATTACTGAAGCGCATATTTGCAAAACCCGAGCAACTGCAAGCACATATTCGACAGTATGTGGTATTTGTCATTGCATGATTGGGGCCTTGATTTTGATAGCACCGCTGGCGCTATCATTCTGCGAATCTCTTATGGATATGAGGTGAAGGAGAACAATGATCCCTTCATTGACGTTGCAGACCGCGCTATGGACCAATTATCGCGGTCCACCGATACTGGTGCCTTCATGGTTGACATCATCCCGTGGCGTAAGACTACGGCATTCTGATATTTGCAATGACCTGACTATCTCTAGTAGCCAAGGTTCCCGAGTGGTTTCCTGGTGCTGGATTCAAGTGCTTGGCCCGTGAATGGCGTCAGACCCTCGAAGAGATGGTTGATGCGCCATACAAATTCGTCAAGGATCAGATGGTAACCAACATATACAGTTCGGCGATCATGAGTTGAACATATCACAGGCTGCCGGAGTTGCCCCAGTATCTTTCACCTCGAATCTGTTGCAAGGCCGTACTTTGTCCACGG